CCTGTGCCCATCCTCCAATCTGGCAAAGCCCTAGGCCTGGATAAATTCCACTAAGAGCTTTCCCCCTGCCTATATCAAGGTAGGTGAACTATGAAGGCAAATCGCTCAGCAGAATAGGACAGGACACACATAAGTGAATGACCACCGCCCTCAACTAGGTTGGCAACACTCTCCAGCAATTAGGGATTCTGTAGGCACATTTGCTCTTCAGTTCTCTGAAGGCTCATTGTCCTCCTTCCTTCCAACTCCTCCCCACCTCTTCCTCGCTCACAGCAGACCTTGCCTCCCACTTGGCAGAAAAAATAGAAGTTCGAGATGAAATCTCCCTTAACATCCCACTGCAAACCTACATCTACATCTGCACCCGTCCTCTCTTTGTTCTTTCTTTGGGTTCTGGAGAAGCCATCCTCCTCCTCCTCTCCCAGACCAAGCCCCCACCTACTTGCCTGATCCCACCCCTCACATGTGCGTGTGAACATCCTTGCTGACCGTCTACTCTGTTTCCTGCACTCCTCATTGATCTATCTCCCTTTGATCTCCTATCAGCCTTTGAACACATTCAAGTTTCTTTCACCTCACGACACATAGGGACCCTGACTCACAGACGCTCTCTCCTCCCCTTCACACAAAAACCTCTCAAAGGACCCTCAGCCTCCCTCAGCCCTCCTTCACTCAGTGACCACTGCCATCTGACCTTCTCTAGCATTCCACGGAAGTAGCACTCTTCCTAAAGCCACCAAAATCCCTCCGCCTGACATTAAACCAGAACCGGTAGTTCCACTCTGGTCCTGTCCCACCTCTCAGAGCATTCCCCATGGACTCTCCCCACCTTCCTGAAACTCTCCCTTGCCTTCCTTCCCTACAGCCACTCCCCTGAGTTTTCTCCTCCCTCCTCATCCTGTCCAGAGTCTGTCTTTATGCGGCCCTAAGCTGTGGCTGTGCCTTGGAGTTCCATCCTGGGCCACTCCTCCTCTCTTCCTGCTCTCTTTCCCTGGCAGACCTGCCCTCATCCACAGTCTCCATGGTCTTCTCTCCACAGACCACTTCCCATCTCTATGTGAGTCAAACCCAGGCTTCCAAGTGCTTACCCAACATCTGGGTCTCGATCTCATGTCTAACGTGGAGCTTTCACTTTCATGCTTCCCCCCCCCACCCCACCCCCGCCTTCCTCTCCCCTCCTCACTCCTTCCCCATCCGATTCCTCTCTGGTTTCCCCTGTCTCTGTGAAAGTCACTATCTGCCTGTTTGCACAGAGACCTCTGAGTCCATTCTAGTACTCCCTGTCTCTTACCTTCCTTTTCCACACATCTTTGTGATGATTATATTACCCAAAAACTCTGGAAGCTTCCACAGCTCCCCAACTCCACTGTCACCAGCATCACCTCCTTTCCCTCTGGATGCCTGCCTGCACTCCTATCCCTAGCTCATCTTCCTGCATTTGCTCATATATACACTACTTCATTCTCCATTGGGCATCCACACAGGTCACATTAACATTCCAGTGTTATCCTGTCACTCTCAGGCTATTCTGTCAGTGGCTTCCAATCACTCGCAGGATGAAAATTAGATCCTTAATGTGGAGTCTATCCTCCACCCACCTTCTTTACTCCCCAGTCCCTCTGCTTTCCCTCAGGGCCCTGCTACAAAGGACTTTACTACCTCTGCTCTCAGCTGTATCTTCTGCCTGAGGCCCTTTGCACAGCTTCTTCCCCCAGGACTCTCTCCCCATCCTCCCCTACACATAGTTAAGCTTTCCTCACAAACACCTCTTCCTCAGAGAATCCATCCCTAACGTCCAAGGAAAGATAGATCCCTCCTTCCTATTGAAAGTTTTCATGGTAATGGCTAACATACACACACACACACACACACACACACACACACACGGCACTATGTTAGGAGCTCTTCTGAGCATGTCCACTTAGATCCTTAGAACTCATTTACTCCTCACGAAGACCTTATGAGGTAGAAACTACTAGTATAATTATTTTACGGATGAAGAAATTGAGGCACAGAGAAGTTATGTAACTTATCAAGGTCACATCATTAATCAGAGGCAAAGCCAGAATTTGAGCCGGGCAGTGTGACTCCAGGGAAGAAAACACTGTCCTTTTCCTTTCTGTATTTATTCTAACAACGAATTGGCATGACTGTTTGTTTAGCGCGTGTCTCCCCATTAGGTTGTAAGCTCTATTGGGATAGAGACCATTTCATCCTTAATAATGGGTAAACATTTGCTAACTAGCTATATGTAGATGAGTCTGTTCCCTCTTCTCCCTTCACTGCACTCATTCAGTCACATGGTCCTGTCCCTCCCCTCCCCGTGTCTTCCGGGTGCATTCCTAGGAGGTTCAGTATGCGCTTATCTGCTGTGTGCCCTGATATTTGATGGGAAATGTTAAGTGTCTGTACACATTCAACGTTTTCGAGAGCAAAGACGAGGTGGTTCGTGCTGTCTTCAGATCCTTAACCGGTCCTTGGAGTTATAAAACAGCTCATTAAAATAGTCCCCATTCTAGCTCATCCTGTCCCTGCCAACTTCCTCTCAACTTCCTCTCAGCAACCCCACAGCCTCTAGTTTTATTTTTCTCTGCGAATCCATCCTCCACACTTGGGTCATAGCAATCTTTTAAAAGCACAAGTGCAGGCCACCCTCCTGAATAACACCAGTGAGAGACTACCCATTGTTTTTGAAGGGCAAACTCTGCTGGTGGGTGAGGGGATGCTGTAGACACTGTCTACTTCTTCATTCTCGTGTTCACCCCGACCCTACAGCCCAGCAGTACGGGCTGGGTTCTATGTTTGGGTTTACCAACCTGTACCAGCCTATGGCTTTTCCTGTCTTTACTCAGGTGGTGCCTCTGCCTGGGATGCCAGGCCTTTCCTCTGCATCTAAAATTCCCTCCTCCATCTTTAAGCTTCCGTTCAGATGTCTCCTCGGGTGCCCCGCATCCCTGCTCCCACAGGCTCTGCCTGTCCCCGACAGTGCACATAAGGGATTGAATCATAGTTGCTTGGTTACCGTGTCTCTTGTCCCTGTGAGTGAGTTTTGTGGGCAGCCACCATGCCTTATTGGCCTTTTTTATCCACCCCCTCATTTCACTAGCCCATGCTACTCAAGATATGGTGCTCATTACCTATTTGCTCAGTGAATGAAGGATAAGGACAAATAGTTTGCCAATATCAGAAACATCCAAACCTGTAAAAAAGTTTATGAATTTATTTGAGTCTAACGGACGATTGTTGGCAAGCAAAATCTCAATGGACTGAGAAAATGTGCCAGAGAATGGCAGTTTTGCATCTTATTTTATAAATTACAATAAAAGGAGGAGGTGTAAAGAGATTACATAAAATCCATTGGTAATAGGTTAGTGAGGCAAAGAAAGCAAAGCAGGGACAGGGGGAATCTATGAGATTGTATAAAGAGGAAAATGAATTGCCAAAACCGGTTTGGCCCAGTGGATAGAGCATCGGTCGGCCTGCAGACTGAAGGGACCCAGGTTTGATTCCTGTTGGGGGCATGTACCTTGGTTGCGGGTACATCTCCAGTAGGGGGTGTGCAAGAGGCAGCTGATCGATGTTTCTCTCTCATCGATGTTTCTGACTCTCTATCCTCTGTAAAAAATCAACTATATATATATATATATATATATATATATATAATTTTTTTTTAAAGAGTAAAATGAATTGCCTGCTGGCATTGCTCAGTGGTTGAGCATACACCGATTCTTGCCAGGACATATGCCCAGGTTGTGTGCTCCATTCCCAGCAAGGGGCATGCAGGAAGCAGTCAATCATTGTTGATGTTTCTCTTTCATAGATGTTTCTATCTCTTCCTCTCCTTTTTTTTCTCTCTAAAAATCAATAAAAACATATTTTTAAAAATGAATAGACACATACTTCTTTTTCTTTGATGTGTATAAGATAGCTAACAGTTAACAAAAATCATGATAATAACAATGAGGGGATTTGTGGTCTCTGCTCTGGGACGGTGGTTGTACTTTGAGGGGTTCAGAAAAAAAGAAAATTACTTTGATATTCCAAAGGTATGTTATATCATAGGTGCAGAAAAAGACAATAGAGAGTGTAATTAAGGTAAAGATTGACCTTTGTCCAGGAAGGCCTAGGACGTGACTACCCACTATGACTCGATTTTAGTTAGGAAGTTTTAATTTTAATTTTAATTTCAGGCCAATTTTAATTTTAATTTGTGTCTCTGAGTTTGTAAGGCCCACCATGTAGATCTCTCCTGAGCGTCTCAGGTATAATATTGGCCCCTTTTTCACCCACAGGCTTCTAGTTCATGGGTCTGAAAAAGTGTGATGTGAATAACTGAGTTTGTAACTGGAAATTCAAGTCTAGAAAACATTCAGATTTGGATGTTCAGAGATGAATAAACCCTACCGCATCACTCAGGGAGCCAAGGTGAAAGACGAACTCCTTCAAGGGTCAAGACTGAAGAAGGCCGAAACTGGTTTGGCTCAGTGGATAGAGCTTCGGAATGCGGACTGAAAAGTTCTAGGTTCGATTCAGGTCAAGGGCATGTACCTTGGTTGCGGGCACATCCCCAGTAGGGAATGTGCAGGAGGCAGCTGATAGATGTATCTCTCTCATCGATGTTTCTAACTCTCTATCCCTCTCTTTTCCTCTCTGTAAAAAAATCAATAAAATATATTTAAAAAAAAAAAAAAAAAAAAGACTGAAGAAGGATGTAAGAGAGTCATACTTAGCCTGCCTGGCCCAGGGGGCGGGTTCAAGTATAACCACGCCGCCTCCCAGCCAATGGGAGGATACATATCCTTCCGAGCCTCCGCCCCTTTTCCTTGCTGGGAGGAAGCGGGCAACTCCGGAAGATAAGACTACAATTCCCAGCGTGCCGCGCGGCCAGGGCTCACAGGGAGCCGGAAGTGTGGCGCCGGAGGTCTTAGGGCACGAGGGAAGAGGCGGGCGGGGACTGAGGGGGGGCGTACAGGTGATCCAACCGGTGGCAGGTCGCGGGCATGGCCGAGGCCAGGAAGCGGCGGGAGCTGCTCCCCCTGATCTACCAGCATCTGCTGCAGGCGGGCTTTGTGCGCGCGGCGCGGGAAGTGAAGGAGCAGAGCTGCCAGGTGAGCGAGTGCGGACCGTGTGTGAGGGCCGCGTGTGAGATCTGGAAAGCGGCTCCCCACATCCCTTCCCCTGGCTGCCCCCACAGCCAAGCCCCTCGGTGTTCGAGGACGCGACCAAGGGTACGAAGGATCCGCCATCTCTGGCCTTCCTGCGGGTCCCAGCCCCTCTGGGCCTCAGTTTCCCCGATTGCATGCCGGGGGCGGACCCGGACGTGTGATCCGCACGCAGGGCTCCGTACTTCCCGCGTCCGGTACTCCCACCTTCTCTTCCTTCCCGGGAGCGGCGTTTTAAAGTTTCCCACGTGCCGGGCCACGTGGCTCGGTCCGGCCCCCTAGGGTGGAGAAGGTAGCTGCACGTTTGAGAGGTGGATTGCCACCAGCCCTGAACGAGAGCGTCCAGAAAAGGGGCCTGTGACCCCCTTCTCTGAGCTGGAACTCGGGCCCTTAACACCTGCCCTTCTGTACTGAGTCAAACATCTTTGGGATTCCAACTTCTGGTGTGTAGTTATTTCTTCATTCATTCAGCAACTATTAACCTTAGGCGCTCTGGGTGTTGGTGACAAAATGATGAGCACGGCCCCCAGCCCTCCTAGAGCTTAAAATCTAAATGTGGTAGGGAAGTCCGGGTTGGTTTGGCACAGTGGATAGAGTGTCGGCCTGTAGACAGAAGGGTCCCAGGTTCGATTCTGGACAAGGGCCCATGCCCAGGTTTTGGGCTTAAAACCCAGTGTGGGACATGCAGGAGGTTTCTGTCCCTCTCCCTCTCCCTTCCTCTCTGAAATATATATATATTTTTAAAAGGTGGTAGGGAAGGCAGATATAAATCATAAAAATGTACACTCAACACTATGTTAAGTGCCAAGAATGAGTGCTAAGCAGGGATGCAGGACTGTTTACCTGAGGAAGTGGTGTTGGTCTGAGATCTGACAGAAGGGAGGTGTATATTCCAGAGGTGCAAATGCCCTGTGGTAGGATGGAACTTATTGCTGACTGTTGGCCTTGGGAAAGTCCGTTGTGGCTGAATTGTGGGGTACAGGGGTGATAGAGGTCTCTTGGAGGTGGGAAGGGGGTGATGCTGGTTGGAGCCCTGCTGTAGGCAGTTTGGTCTTAATCTGATAAGCAACTGTAAGCCCCTGGAGGGATTTAAGCTGATAAAGTGGATTAATCCATATCCTTTTGGCTCCAGTGGATGCTTGCTCTCAGGATCTCTGGAGAGACTAAAGGGTGATGGGCCCTAAGACATTATCTATGCTTTTTCCAACCCTCTCTAGACTTCAGTTGCTCTTAACTCCATTTATATCACTTACCAGCTAAGGAGGGCAAAAGACAGTGCCTGTCTTCATTTGTCTAAATAAAGGTAGGCTCTGCTCACGGAGGGTACATCCTAGCAGGAACAGACAGGTGACAAATAATTTAGAAGCTAACGATATAATGTGTCTGGTTATGGTATGTGCTAGCTATAAACATAAGACAGGAAAGGGGATAGGAATGCCCGGTTATAACTAGGGTGGTCAGGAGATTCCATTGAGAGGTGACATTTGGCCAGAAGGGAGGGAGGGAGCTGGGTAGTTAGCAGTAGAGAGCATTCCAGACGAAGAGAATAGCAGGTTTTGATGGGTGCAGGGTGGCCTGACACATTGAGGGGCAGTGAGGAGGACGATGTGCCTAAGGAGGAGTAACATGTTGACTGATCCTTGATGTCTCAGTGTTACTGGTTCACTGTGCTGGGCACTGACTAGATCCATGGTCGGCAAACTGCGGCTCTTTGGCCCCTTGAGTGTGGCTCTTCCACAAAATACCACGGTTTGGGCGAGTCTATTTTGAAGAAGTGGTGTTAGAAGAAGTTTAAGTTTTAAAAAGTGGGTTCTCAAAAGAAATTTTAATTGTTGTACTGTTAGTATTTGGCTCTGTTGACTAATGAATTTGCTGACCACTGGGCTAGATGATCCCATTCTGGCCTGATCGCTAGGTGGGTTCTGCTGTCATCCCCATGTCATAAGAAGGATCCTGAAGTGTGAAGAGGTGAAGAGATGAGCCCAGCTTTATTTACTTTAACAGGAGTTGTGCATGGCTCCAGATGTATCGTCTGGGTCACTCTGCCCAGAGCCCTAACGCCCTCTGCCATCATCGCACATTGCTCACTCGGCCTTCCTGGGGCATTTGGCATCCCAGGTGCCTGATACTTGCAGAGACAGTGGGCCCTCTGGCTTTTGCTCCAAAGGCCTGGATTTCACCCGGTTTCCTCTGCTTCTGTCAAGGGACTGGCACCATTTGGTTCCAGTCCTCTCCCGGTGGATAAGTGGGCTGCAGTCATGCCACCTGGCTGCCTCGGTGTCTGGGCTGTGGTTCCTGTGGCCCTGGGGAGCTTGACCAGCCTGGCCTTTAAAAGCCTTTTGAAAGGTCAGGGGTGAGAAAAGCCTGTCTTGTGGCCTCTAAGCATGGATCGTGCCAGGGAGGCTGGGGACTGGGTAAATGCTAGCCTGGAGCATTCCAGCCCAGCCTCTCAAAGGCACCTCTCACCAACATGTTGTCTTAAAAGGTTTTAACTGGAAATACTTGTCCTGCTTGTCTCTGTGCGGTTTTGGGTGGTAATGGCAGGGCAAGCAGACGTACTTCCCAGAGCAGAAAGACCCCCTGCTCAACCACCTGTCTGTGCGAGTCGTGAGGTTGTGGAGAACTGGAGCCCAGGAGGACCCTGGCTGTGCTGAGGGGTTAATTGCTGCTCTCTCTTTTCTTCTCTGCAGAAAAGTTTCCCAGCTCAGCCTGTAACCCTGCTGGACATCTATACGCACTGGCAACAGTAAGTCTGACGGTGTTGAATGTATGGAGTAGGGACACCCCAAGCTATCAGCTTGGAATAAGCTAGGGTCCTAATCTGGTCTAAGGTCTGTCCCAAGGCCCACTGTAGACACCATTATCGCCCCCAGGAAGGCAGGTCACACGTGCGTGTCTGGTAGTACCCTGTTTGCCCGAAAATAAGACAGTGTCTTATATTAATTTTTGCTCCCAAAGATGCGCTAGATCTTATTTTCAGGGGATGTCTTATCTTTCCACGAAGAAGAATATGGTACACATTTATTGTTAAATGAAAATAAAGGGAATTTATTACCCGTATACGGTACGGTAGTACGGTAGTTGTCAACACAAACCAGACTAACTGTGAATCCTACAGTATCAAGAATTTACTCATTTATTCTATGACAATCATGTCATCATCTTCTGGAACATCATCATAACAATCCAGTTCCTGAATTTCCTGGTGAATTTCTTGTGACTCCATTTCTTTCAGAATCAGTGGACTAAATCTCTCATGTTTAGCCTAGGGGAGGGTCCTTATTTTCGGGGGGATGTCTTATATTTCACTCAGAAGGAAACCTGTAAGTAGGATTTATTTTCGAAGGATGTCTTATTTTCGGGGAAACACTATAGAAGGGGATATTGAGAGCTACAATCAATATTGAATAATAATAAGGACAGAAGCTTCTCAGTAATGTTATTCATTCAATCAGCAAACATTTATTGAGCACTTATTAAATGCCAAGCCCTGTTCTAAGCATGGATGTGTTATGAGATGAGACAGACATGCCTCCTTCTTTCCTGGAGTTGACTTCCGAGTCAGGGAGGTAGGCATACATCAAAGAATGAAACGAATGAATGTGAAATGACAATGCTTATAAGGATTACGAAAAAGAGGTACCGGTGCCAAAACCACATAAACCTCATGTGGGGTTCCAGGGGAAGTTTCCCTGCAGTGATCTTTGATTTGAAAGCCGCAGGGAGTGGGTGAGTGACCCAGCAGTAGGTACGGAGAAGCAGGTGGAGTGGACCTAGCAGAAGGAACTGCTGGTGCTGAGGCCTGTGGCCGTGAGCACAGTGCAGATAAGGCCGGGCAGTCGGCAGGGCTCACCCCATGCCAGGCCTGATCATCCATAGTGAGAAGGTGTGTCCTTATCTTGAGAGCAGTGGAGCCATGGAAGGGTGAAGCAGTGATGAGATCGCTCTGTAGCTTGGACAACATCATCCAGGCAAGAGCTGATGGGGCTTGAGACAGGAGTAGCAGAAGGTAGGAAGTAGGTTTCAGGAATATTCAGGGATGAACCCAGGATCTGTGGATGGGTTGGGAAGGCAATCCAGTCCAATCCCAGGTGTCTGGCTTATGCATGGAGTTACAAGGGAGCCTGATGTGGATGGGGAAACTTCAAAGACACGTTGCCTGTGAAGCATATAAAAACCTAAGTACTTTTCAAGGACTGAAAAATAATCTAAGGGTGCATAAACAGAAGAATGGTCTGAGAATGAAGGAGGGGACAGTTGTATTCTCTCCATGCCCTGGCCTGACCACAGCAGACCAGGTGGGGGAAGGCCCAGAGCTATGTCCCATAGAGAACACCGAATTGCCAGGATGGAAAAGAGATGGCAAAGGGGCAGGTGAGGGGACCGTTGTTTGCACATCTGAAAGGACAAAAGCAGTGGCAGGTTCTCTGGGGCCCTGGGTGATTGAGGTGGGATCCCTATATGCCTGCTTTAGGAAGAGGTTTCAGCTTCTGAACACAAGTGCTTGGTCATCAGAGCTGTCCAACAATTAGGTAGGCTCCAGTAGGAGTGGTGAACTCCCTGTTATCAGAGATATGTAAGCAAAGGCAGGAATGGCATGAGTGGGGCCCCAGCTCCCAAGGTCTTTAAAAGCCCAGCTAGGCATTAATTTTTTACTCTTCTCTGCTGCTAAAGCAAGCACATGGCACACCCCACACCCCACACTTCCTCTCCTTCACCCTCTCCAACTTACTCGGGTGTCTTGGGTATCAGTCACAGCACTTCCTTCCCCAGAGACCCGCTCCAGTGAGCTGCACCACAAGCCCTTTCCTGCCCCTGGCCCCTGTGGGTGAGGGGTACTGAGTGAGATGGAACCTCATACCCACCAGAGGAAGCCGAGCCTAGTGCTTCCTGGCAAATTCAAACCCAGCAACTAGCTATTTGACCATGGACAAACGGTGTCCCTGAGCCTGTGTCGTCTTCTGTAAAATGATAGTAACAATAGTAAGTAAAGAGCTAAACCTGGCCATCTTCTCCCCACACCTCTATCTCCCCCCCTCCCCCATTTATATAGCACCTACTGTGAGCCAGGACTGTTCTTGATATAACTGGGAACAAACTAGAGAACAGGCCCTTCCCTTGTAAAACACCCTTTTTAGGAAGAGAGAAGCAGAACAATTGACACGTATAAAAAATGAAACCTGTTTTTAACAGGATAGTCTCAACAAGGGGACCTGAGCAGGGAACCAGGGACCTGAGCAGCACACCCCAAACTGTGGAGAGCAATGTCTCATAGCTGCAGAGTGTGGGCATAGACAGTGACTCCCTAGGGTGGGAGGGTGGAGTGGAAGAGGTGATCCTTGAAAGTTCCAGGGACTCAGCCATCTGAATGCTTATCCTGCCAATGCCCCAGCCCCAGACTTGCTCTTTGACTCTGGGCAAGTCACTTAATCATTCATTTTTCGAGACGTGTGCTGTGTGTGAAAGGTACCTTAGTGAGCTGGGAAAGGTCCCTCCCCCTCCCCGGACCTTACTGTGCAATGGGGTGTCAGGCAGGAAGTAAGTAAAATAACAGGAGCGAGAAAGTGCTTTTATTATAAGAAAATGAAACAGGATGACAGGCTGAAAATATCTTTGGGGGAGGGCCTCTCTGAGGAGGCTGTGTTGGAGCTGAAGCCTGAAGACAAGGAGGACCTGGGCAGAGTCTTCTAGGACGAGGGTACTGCAGGGGCCGGAAGTTCTGGAAGAGGGAGGAGCCTGGGTGGCCTGCAGATGCTAGCACCTGTCACTCAACACCGGTTAACTACTGTTAGTATGTTATTGACCATTCTGGATTATCTTGAAGACCACTAGACAGTTATAAAAAACACTTTATGACAGCGGTGGGGAACATCTGGATCGAGAAATCATTTGGCCTGGCCCTGCCAAGGCATTAGGGCTAAGTTAATTAAATGTTTGACCAAATATAATAGGCTAATTTTTATGTCTTTTTTTTTTTTTTTTTTTAAAGCAGGCTAATTTTTAAGTTGATAATTGTATATAGCCTGAGAATGAAGTTGTAAATATCCCAGTGGCCCTTGGCAGAAAATGGTTCCCCACCACTGCTTTATGAAATGAGTGAAAACGCAGAATTTCATCTACACTATGTCTTCATCGAAACTCTATGCGTATTTCCTTTGGAGGTGGGGCGGGATGTGGGAAGGTCTTTCTTTCCAAATCTCCTGGAGTTGTCCCTGTCACCAGTTGGTGTAGCCAGTCACCCTTGTCCTGCAGAACCTCGGAGGTTGGCCAGAAGCGGAAGGCCGAGGAAGATGCAGCACTGCAGGCAAAGAAGGCCCGGGTGTCAGACCCCATTAGCACCTCGGAGAGCTCAGAAGAGGAGGAGGAGGAGGCAGCAGCTAAAACCGCCAAAGCTGGTAAGGGCCCTGCATGCTGGGCACTGCTGGGGGGCTCCCATGATTGGTGCTTGTGGGGGCTTAACCCAGGGTCCGGCACCTTTTAGGTACAAGCTGTTCGGTATTGCATTGTTCCAGGGGACCGCCTCCAGCTTCTTCAGTGAGCTGTGGGAAGACCAGGACCTTTTAGGGGGAATTTCAAAAAGACCTACCTGTCTCAGTATTTATTTGAGACCTTCCTCTGCATCAAACATTGTGTCCCCAGTGCCTTCTCTTTTTTTTTAATTTTATTTTACTGATTTTTATAGAGAGGAAAGAATAGGGATAAAGAGTTAGAAACATCGATGAGAGAGAAACATCAATCAGCTGCCTCCTGTACACCCCTACTGGGGATGTGCCCGCAACCAAGGTACATGCCCTTGACCGGAATCAATCCTGGGACCTTTAGTCCACAGGCTGGCGCTCTATCCACTGAGCCAAACTGGGCAGGGCCCCAGTGCCTTCTTGGTAGCATGTAGCAGGACTGTGAGCCAGTTCTTTTCCTCTGGAGCCTCTGTCTCATCACCAGGGAGTTGGGACTCCATCAAGGATGCAGACATTTTGCCTCTCTGGCTCCTGGTGGACATGGCTAATGTACCACAGAGCTCTTTCCCAAAATCTGGGCTCAGCCTCAGATCCGTACACAGCACGGATCTAATTTTTAAGTTGATTATTGTATATGGCCTGAGAATGAAGTTGTAAATATCCCAGTAGCCCTTGGCAGAAAATGGTTCCTACATGAGCAGAAACCTATTTGCTGTTCCTAGTTGAGAAAAGGCTCACCTGGCTCATCCAGTGGTGTTTGTGTTTTGCAGCTCCAAAACTAGCGTCCACCAACTCCTCAGTCGTGGGGGCGGTTTTGCCATCAAGCATGAAAGAAAAAGCCATGGTGAGTGGGACTGTGTCCCAAGCTGTTACCCATAGAATTGAAGTGACCTGTAAGGGACAGTCTCTATGAGAGAAGGGTAGGTTTGTGGGTGATTGACCATCTGGATTCAAATCTCAGCCCAACTTACCAGCTGTGAGATGTTGCTGAGTCCCTTTACCATTCCTTTTCTTTTTTTAATATATTTTATTGATTTTTTTACAGAGAGGAAGAGAGAGGGATAGAGAGTTAGAAACATCGATGAGAGAGAAACATCGATCAGCTGCCTCCTGCACACCCCCCAATGGATATGTGCCTGCAACTAAGGTACATGCCCTTGACTGGAATCGAACCCGGGACCTTTCAGTCTGCAGGCCTACTCTCTATCCACTGAGCCAAACCAGTTTCAGCACCATTCCTTTTCTGTAAAAATAATTGTAAAGTAACTAGAGGCCCGGTGCATGAAATTTGTGAACGGAGTGGGGGATGGGGGTCCCTCAGCCCGACCTACATCCTCTCCAATCTGAGAGCCCTCAGGAGAGCCCTCTCCAATCCGGAGCCCTGATGGCTTACACCCACTCTCCGTGGTTCTCTTCGATCTGTGGGACCTGGCCATTCCACACCTATTGCCCAGAGACTTTTGCGTTGCCCACAGGCCCAGAGTGTCCCAGCCCCACCACTGCCTTCTTTGTCATGGAGTGACAGTCATTTTGCATATTTCCTCTTTATTAGATAAGATGATGATAACCTCAACAAACTGCAACCAACCATTTAGCAAGTAATAGCTGTATCCCCAAAAAGGTCACCTGGTTCTCTCCACACCTCCGTGAGGGGGCGTACCATTTTTAGTTTTACTTTAAAGGTGAAGAAACAGAGGTAGGGAGTGGTTTGTCCAAACTCACAAGGCTAGGAATGGTAGAGCTGGGTTCAGATGTGGTTCATGTCTTTAGTTCACCAGGCCATACCCAAGTGTGTTTGTCACCTGTTCTCTGTAGGCAGAGACCAAGAAAGGCAACAAGACTGTGAACTCCACTCCTCAACCTGCCCTTGGAACCACGGCCAAGCCTGGTGAGAAGCCCCCTGAGTGGGCGGGAGGCAGGCCTGGGTGCTGCTTCCAGCTCTGGGACATTCTAGAATTCAGAAGCGTCTCCATGACAACAAGGCCCCACCTCAGACCATTTCCCCCTCCCTTGACGAGGGAGAATCAACCACAGGGATGCATCAGGCTTTGCTGAGGGAGTTGAGTAGCCTGGGTGGTGGAGTATTTTCTGGCTTATTGACCTCAGGGGGCGTATAAGATCCATCTCAGAGTCCTAGAGACTAAACTTAGAGGCCTGGATTTGGGCATTTGTGTTGCCTGCCTCAGTGTACGCAGGAGGGAGGTTTTTCTAAGCTGGCACAAGTGTTAGGGCCTCAGTTACAGCACGAGAGTAGAATGTACCTCAGCTATGGGGCTCAGTAGACATTGGAGCTGAATGAGGCTCGGGCGCTTCTGGCTCCAATGAGCTGGTGTGGTGGAGTGCAGGTGGGGCTGGGAAGGGTGGTTCTCAGTGCCTTCCCTGTGCATCCCCCCGCAGGATTGGCATCAGCAGGCCAGGGCGACAGCTCCAGCGAGGAGACCTCCAGCTCGAGCAGTGAGTCGGAAGTGGAGGTAATTGCACCCCATCCTCAGGAGCTGCCCTTGCACACCTTGAACTCTTCCCTCCCAGGAGCCTGGCTTCATAGACAAGTGGGACCAGATCAGTTCAGCAAGTGTTTCAGGGTGACTGGGAGCTAGAAAGGTGGGGCGGTCGGGAGGTGGGGGGGTCTAGCGGGCCATGGCGGAGGAGGACCAGGTGCTGCTCATTGTACTCAGCCTGAGAAGGGTCTAGGGTTATGGGGGAGAGGCACCATTTGCCTACGTGACAAAAGAGGCTTCCTGGGAGAGTTGGCACTGGAGCAGGGCCTCACCAAGCGGAACGCTGTCATAAGGAACTGGTGTCTGTCTGGGACCGGGCGGAGGAGGCCAGGTGAAATGGGCAGGCGGTGTGAAGGATTCAGGAATGGAGCTGATAGGCCAGGTCAGAGCATCAGTCGAGGCAGGGAGTGAGGAGTGAAGCAGGGGGTCCCGAGAGCCTCTGCTTTATCCTGAAGGTGTCGCCAGAGAGTTTGCAGGAAGAAGGGAACAAATTATCCTTTCTCTTTCACTAGGTGAAAACCCCCCTGGTCAAAGCTGCCTCCGCCCCTGCCAAGGCGTCTCCTAGGAAAGCAGCGGTCCCAGCACCCCCCGGGAAGGCAGGACCTTCAGCTGCCCAGGCCAAGGCAGGGAAGCCAGAGGAGGACTCGGAGAGCAGCAGCGAGGAATCAGATAGTGAGGAGGAGGCGCCAGCTGCCAAGACCCCGCCTCAGGTGAGGCCCGAGAAGAAGAGCCTGCAGTCTTTCTCTCCACCCCTCACCCCCCCAAAAGAGGCTTTCTGAAGACTGGGTCTCCCGCTGCCAAAGAGCCCCAGCTATGCTCCGAGCCTGCCCCACCCCTTCTCAGAGTGATGTGTGCGGCGACCTTGCCCTGTGTGGTCTCCCAGGTCTCCTCATATCCACCTCTGGGCTGCCTCCCCTGATTCTGCTTCTCTCGCTCCAGGTGAAGGCCAAGGGGAAAGCCCCGCAGGTCAAAGCTGCCTCGGCCCCTGCCAAGGCGTCCCCCAGGAAAGGGGCTGTCCCTGCACCCCCCGGGAAGGCAGGGCCTGCAACTCCCCAGGCCAAGGCAGGGAGGCCAGAGGAGGACTCGGAGAGCAGCAGTGAGGAATCGGACAGTGAGGAGGAGGCGCCAGCTGCCAAGACGGCACTTCAGGTGAGGCCCAGAAACCAGAGCCTGTGCCCATGCCTGTGCCAAAAGGCCTTCTGAAGACTTGTTCTCCCACTCTGGCCGGTTTGGCTCAGTGGATAGAGCGTCGGCCTGCAGACTGAAGGGTCCTGGGTTTGATTCCAGTGAAAGGCACGTATCTTGGTTGTAGACTTAATCCCTGGCCGTGGTCAGGGCTTTTGGGGGAGGCAACCAATCAATGTGTCTCTCTTACATCAATGCTTCTCTTTCTCTTTCTCTCTCTCTCTTTCTTCCCCGCCCTTCCACTCTTTCTAAAAATCAATGGAAAACATCTTTGGGTGAGGACTAACAAAACGAAGATTTATTCTCCCATTCTCAGGCATGCTCTGAGCCCGCCCCACCCCTTCTCACAGTGTGGTGTGTGCGGCATCATTGCTGTCTGGTTTCCTGGGTCTCCTCACAGCTACCTCTGGGCTGCCTCCCCTGATTCTGCTTCTCTCGCTCCAGGTGAAGACCTCGGGGAAAACCCCGCAGGTCAAAGCTGCCTCAGCCCCTGCCAAGGCGTCCCCCAGGAAAGGGGCTGTCCCTGCACTCCCTGGGAAGGCAGGGCCTGCAACTGCCCAGGCCAAGGCAGGGAGGCCAGAGGAGGACTCGGAGAACAGCAGTGAGGAATCGGACAGTGAGGAGGAAGTGCCAGCAGTGGTACCTGTAACCTCAAACCTGGCTCAGGTGAGGCTAGAGGACACTATATGGCCTGTGCCCTGCCTGCAGAGCCGCCCAGGGGCTTGTCCTTCCCCTGCACCTAGAGTACTGGGCCCCCATTTGCCCTCCTCACCTCTTACCTCCCACACATTCCCTCTGTGGGCCCTGCCCTAATCAGTCCTTTGTCACTCCCAGGCAAAGCCCTTGGGGAAAAACTCCCCGGGCAGAGCCACCTCAGCCACAGTACCCTCTGGGAAAGGCGCTGTCCCAGCACCCCCTGGGAAGACAGGGTCTGCAGCCACTTTGGCTCAGGCCCAGAAGCAGGAGGACTCGGAAAGCAGCAGCGAGGAGTCAGACAGCGAAGAGGAGGCACCTGCAGCCACGACTCCAGCCCAGGTGAGGCCATAAAAATAGCCTGACCCTGAGCAGCCCCCACTAGTCAGCTCCACAGGGGGAGCTTCAGCCCAGGGTAGATGGAGGCTCGGAATCCAGGGTCCTTCTCCAGCCTCTGACTTCTGTGTCCCCGCAGGCCAAACCAGCTATGAAAACTCAGACCAAGGCCTCCCCGAGGAAGGGCACTCCCATTACCCCTGCATCTGCCAAGGTCCCCCCAGTGCGACTGGGCACAGCGACTTCGCCAGCTTGCACATCCCCAGCTGTGGCCAGGGGTACCCAGAGGCCGGGGGAGGATTCTTCAAGCAGCGAGGAATCAGAGAGTGAGGAGGAGGCAGCTCCTGCCACAGCAAGGCCACAGGTGAGGCCAGTGTGCTTGACTGACTGAGGACCAGCCCCTTATGGTCCTTTGGTTTCCTGTGACATAGTTCTCTTCCATGTCCTTCTAGGCTAAGTCTGTGGGGGAAAATCTCCCAGTGAAAGCTGCCTCAGGGCAAGGGACCGCCCTAGGACTCCTTGGGAAGGCAGGGCCCATGTTGGCCCAGGTCAAACCTAAGACACACGAAGACTCAGAGAGCAGTGAGGAAGACTCAGACAGTGACGAGGCTCCCGCAGCTCCAACACAGGTGAGGCCTAGGAGAAGCCAGCCCATCCCACTACATCAGGTTCTGAGACAGGGCTGAGGGTGGACTTGTCTGGGCTCTGCTGTTGTCCTCAGGTGTGCAAAAGTCTCAGGAGCAGCCTCAGCTCAGCCCCAAGCAAACATGGGGGCTTGAGCTGAATGAGCAGTAGGGTATCTTCTGGTCCTGACCTTTTGTTTAGGGACCTGGGTTCAAGTCCCTTAAAAGTGATATAATCCATCAGGGCCTCTGTTCACTCTCCTGTAAATTGAAAATCAACCTTTACAGGGTTGAGAATTTAACAAGATCTCACCTGCCACACCCAGCAAGGGGCCTGCACACAGCCAGCTCTCATCTCCCTGAGGGCTGCCAGGCTGTTGTGCAACAGAATCGAGTCATCTCCCAGCCTGGAAGAATGGGAGAGGTGAAGATAGCTCACTCCCTGCACTCACCCACCCACCGTTTATTATTTTTAATTGTTGCTTTTCTTTTAATAACCACTTAGAGATTAGTCATTTCTTTTTCCCTCTACCAGAGCACACATTTCTATGGATTTTTTTGGTTCCCCTCTCACCATTACCTTATGGGACTTTTAAACTACACACGCCCTCCCCGAGTCTTGGCCCAACAGGCTCCCATCCACTTTTTCCAAGCTGTGGACACATTCCAAAGCAAGTTTCAATATGCTGATCCCTTAAATATTTGTCTTCCTATCTGAGCCTCCCACCTGTACCATGAGATAGGTTTTCATGTGTGTTGATTTCTGCAGAAGGAAATTGGAGTTTAAAGGCATTGTATGGTAATGTGCTCCAGCTCAGCCACCAGTGAGGGTCAGCGCTGGGCCTCTGCCCCAGAGTGACTACCTCAAAAGCCTTTTGTCTTTCTCACTTTCTCACTCACATCTTGGCCAAAACTTTTCCAGCCACAGTAATGATTATGGATTTGGGATCTTACTTTCTCTCAGGGTGAAAAATAGAGACGCTATTCCGTCTCTAGGGGATAGTTGTACAGACCCATCCCCTTGTCAGAGATGGTACCTATCATTGCTTCAGGAAGTCTGAAAAACTTCTGCTAAAATAGACGGGTTTGATAAGAGGAGTCTTGTTCACCTTTTCCATACCTCTTTGTGGAATTATGAGGATTAAGTGAGGTAATACTTACATTGCTTCACCCTTAAAATGCTATGCATGCTAACTAGGTTTCACACTGCTCAGCTCTCATGGGGTCAGAAATGAGTCAGATAGTCTCTAATCTGCTCAGAGCCGCCAACCCAGCTCAAATTAAACCATCCATTTGGGAATCAAGGTCCAAAACAGAGAAGCAAAGACAGAGGATTGGTTCTAGGAAACTAAATTTGCCAGAGACTCAGGAAGATGATTCAGAATTTAAATGCCCTTGTGTGAGAATGGCTGAAAGAGCAGTAGGGTGTCTTCTGGCCCTGACCTTTTGTTGTATGTTGACATTTTTACAATTGCTTATCAGTTTTAATGACTTTTGTAGATTCTATACACAGATCATGTGGTCTACAAAAAAGGGTAGTTTTACTTTTTTCATTTCTGATCTAGATGTCTTTTTATTTCTTTTTCTTGCCTTATTGCACTGACTAGCGCCTCCAGTGCCATGTTGAATAGTAGTGATAAGAGCAGCTGTCCTTACCTTATTCCTACTCTTAGGAATAAAACATTTAGTCTTTCACTGTTAGGTACAATGTTAGCTATAGCTTTTCATAGATACCCTTTATCAAGTTGAGAAGGTATTCTTCTAGTCCTAATTTATTCAGAATTCTTATGAGTTAGAGTTGGATTTTTGTCAAATTTTTGTTTTGTTTTATTCATATATTGCATTAGTTAATTTTCAGGTATTAAATCAAACTTTCATTCTTGAATCCCATTTGGTTGCGATGTATACTCCTTTTTATGTGTTGACTTCCTTTGCTAATCATTTGTTAAAGATTTCTGTATCTATATTCATGAGGAACATTGGTCTGTAGTTTTCTTTTGATGTCTTGCCTGGCTTTAGCATCAGGGTGATACTGGCCTCATAAAATGAGTTGGGTCATATTTCTGAGTTTGTTAGATTGGTACTATTTTTTTTTTCTTTTTTTTTTTTTCTTTTTTTTTTTAATATATTTTTATTGATTTTTGTACAGAGAGGAAGGGAGAGAGATAGAGAGTTAGAAACATCGATGAGAGAGAGTCATCGATCAGCTGCCTCTTGCACACCCCCTACTGGGGATATGCCCGCAACCAAGGTACATGCCCTTGACCGGAATCGAACCCGGGACCTTTCAGTCCCCAAGCCGACGCTCTATCCATTGAGCCAAACCGGTCTCGGCTATTTTTTTTTTCTAAATTTCCCTTTAAGGACTACATTAGTTTCATCCCATGGATTTTGAAGTGATATAGTTTTTATTTTTATTCTTTATGGGTTTAGAAGTAGGTTAATTTCCAAATATCTGGGATTATGCAGATTTCTTTTAGTTATTGATTTCCAATTAAATCTTGTTGTAGCTGGAGAACATGTTTTGTATGATTTCAGTCCTTTTAAATTTATGTAAGGTCAGATTAGTCTTTGTGCCTTTGTTTTGTCTACATAAGAGTCATTATTCCAATATGGATGACTTGAGTGCTGTACTGAGCCCATTGACCTTAAGTCATACGTAGGCTATGCTTTAAGGGATTGACTCTTAATTTCATTTGTTCTCATGTGGATGAGGAACCAGAGGTATGGAGGATTTCTTTAGACACTGATCCAGTGACCACTCTGACAGAGGCAGGGACTTAAGGTGCTGCCAGATTGCTTGTTCTATTTCATATTAGCAAAACTTGCATTCATACACTACATCAAGCACGTCAATCTCAAGGGCTAGCATAGGCCTAATAAACAAGGTTTAAGTTTTTGTGAGCCACAAAAAAGCAAAAGCTTCAATTTTCATAGAAACGTAGGTTTATTTTGATAGAGACATGACGAATACAAAGGGCTGAAATAAATGAGTGATCCTTAACATAAAGTAATAGCACATTTTAATAAAAATTAATATTTACCAGACACTGAATAACTACACAGATTAATAAACCTATTTTTCTTGTTCTCTGAAAGCGAAATATTTCCTGTTGCACACGCCAAACAAGTCAGTACAAGATAAATGGCTTGGCATTTGGCTGCTAAAAAACTCACTGCTAGTATTAGTGGAGAGAAATGGTGCGCCTGCGCATAAGGCACAAAGGGAAACAAATGCAACATAATTATAATAGTCATTATCGAACATTGTAGTTCGTTATTAATAATTATGTATAACAGAATATTGTAAAAATTAAGTTATGAAATTTTTATTAAAATGTATCTTACATGCTGTTGTATTGGCTGGGCTACAAAAATATTCGTTGTGGGTCACATGCGGCCCGAGGGCCATGAGTTTGACATGCTTGCATACACTGTCAAGGATTTCACTCTTTATTGCTCTCATTTCTGCTGGCGATACTGATAGGCATTTGGGGGAGTCCCTAGAATCAATTAACATTAGGTTAAGCTGAAGAAAAACTCAAAACTACGGTTTTCTGCCTTGTTATGCCCTCCTCAATAGCTGGCCCCCCTCTCATAGACCAAATTGGCTGCTTAAGTTCCAGCTACTACCTCAGCCAGAAGGAAGAAGACACGTTTCCTATATGTAAGAGAGTTGAGCGTGTGCTCAACTTATATTCCATCAGCTAGAACTTAATCATATGGCCACCTCGCTGAAAGGGAGCCTCGAAAGCACCTCGGCTCTAGGGAGTCTTGTGATTGGCTAACACTAAGAAAAGTGCTCTCAACAATGGGTTTCAATGCTTACTGCGTACCAGGAACTGTTACTCTGCAACTCTCTCACTTAATCCTCATGGCAGGCAGCCCCATGGGTGGGCCTTATCATTACGCCTGTTTCACAGAGGCCTAGCAGGGTCAAGTAGTTTACCCAGGTTCACACAGCTATTACATGGAGGCGCCAGAATCCAAACTCAGTCTCTGACTCCAGAATCGGCGTTCTTGGATGACTGCTCTACTGCATCTCACCTTCTCCTTCATGGTTGCCCTTTTCCTTCCAGGTGAAGACCTCAGTGAAAACCCCTCCGAGCAAAGCCCACCCCACTCCCGCCAGAGCAGCTTCAGCCAAAGGGGCAGCGTCAGCTCCCGGGAAAGTGGTCACTGCAGCTGCTCAAGCCAAACACGGATCCCCGGCCAAGGCAAGTGGGACCAGCGCCCCAGGAGGTGCTGGGGGTGGAGCGGAGAGGAGGACCGAGCAGTGGCCCCCGCCTGGACAAGGGCCCTGCATGGACGGGAGCAGTGTCACTATCATCACACTGTGGGTGGGGTTTAACCTAAAAAGAACTGTGCTGTTTACTTCTCTCCTCAATACCGTTACCTCCTTGCAATCCAGGCGAAGCTGCCAGTGAAAACCCCCCAGAGCAGCGCCATCTCGGTGAGGGGCCAGGTGTCTGTGCCAGCTGTGGGGAAGGCAGCAGCCCCAGCAGCCCAGGCCCCAGGGCCGGTTGAGGACGACTCAGAGAGCAGCAGTGAGGAAGAGACGGACATCGAGGGGGAGGCACCTCCTCCGGTGAGGCCCCGAAAGGGCAGAGAGCAGCCCTGTGCTTCCTCTCTGTCAGGAGTCCCCTACAGCACAACTCCGTATGCCCGTCCATCTCCTGTGTCCTTCTGTGTCCCCTGCCCTGACTATGTTTCTGTCACTCCAGGCAAAGCCCTCAGGGAAGACCACCCAGGTCAGAACTGCCTCGGCCCCTCCCAAGGGGTCCCCCAGGAAAGGGGCTGCCCCACCACCCCCTGGGAAGACAGGCCCCATGGTCGCTCAGGCTAGGAAAAAAGAGGACTCTGAGAGCAGCAGCGAGGAGGAGTCGGACAGCGACGGGGAGGCACCAGCAGCCGTGACCCCAGCTCAGGTGAGACCTAATGAGGAAGCAGCCACAATGCCAAGCCCCGTCACCCATTCCTGGGCCTGAATTCAGGCTCTTCGGTGAACCCTGCTGTAACACTTCCCCAGTCCAGGCCTCCCTGATGCAAGGAGTCCTAAGCACTCCCATACCTACCAAGGCCTCCACAGCTTGATGGGCACACCAGCCCCATGGAAGGCTAGGCCAGAAACTCCCATTCTTTGCCAAGTCACATGAGGCCAAGCATCCAAAGCTGTCAGAGTCATGGGAGGCTTGGGTGGTAGTGCGGGTGCCACCAGGCCCCGGGGAGCTGGAGGAAGTCACATTCCCTCCCGGGGCCTCACCAGCACCTGCAACTTCCTGGGGAGAGAGCTCGTCCAGCTTAGTATGAAGCTGGGTGTGGGAGAGGGAATGAAGAATTGACTTACCTGGATCACTTTCCATCTGTCTGCCTTCAGAAGGCAGCAGGGGTGCTATGTCCTACCAAAGTTCATGGCAACAAACTCTAGGACTTACAGGCCTCAGGCGTGTAATGGAAATGATTGGTATTGAGGCTTTTATCATGAGAGAGTGGTGGCAACCAGGACAAAGTAGAGAGCCCTTGCCCCATCCGAGAGATCATCCCTGTCAGCTCCAGCCAGTTGAGACCTTGTGAATGTGTCCTCCCTATGGCGGGATCTTCCTTTTCTTAAGGAAAGCAGGAAGTCCCTGTGCCAGGCTTTTAGCTAGGGTGTTACAGCCAAGTGTGAACTGGGTGGGGCCACTGGCTCACCCCTATAGCCTCATCCAGGCTGCTGTCACCTCTGGTGCACGTACCCAGCCAACAGCACTCTGTCCTCAGGTTTTAGCAGTGTCTTATTCATCCATCCCTTTCGGGTTCAGGGTCAGCTCTGGCAGGAGGGTAAGTAGAGTGAAGGCCGGTGTTTCCAGTGCCTGTGGGCCATACTGGGCTAGTAGCCCTTGTGTCCATCCGTTCATCTGTGCCATCTTTCCCCCTCCCCGCCATGTGCAGATAGGGAGAGGCACGCTGCCTTCCCTGGTCGCTGCAGCTGGCCATGGCTTCCCTGTCCCTCAGTCCTGTTCCCCCTCAGTTAATGCCTGCCTCCAACCACCATGTGCTTGTCCCATCAGAAGGAGAGTAGCTCCAAAGCTGCCAAAAGTAACACACTGGCCCCAACAACCCCAAAGAAGAATGCTGAGGCGTCCTCGGAGAGCAGTGATGAGGAGCTGCCATCAGGCCAGGTAGGCTGCACCTGCGCTCAGGCCAAGGCAGGCTCCGAGCTGGAAGCCTGTGGGGTTGAGGGCAGATCTTTCCCGTTTAAACAGCATTTCACAGTTTCCAGAGCTCTGGCCTCTATTCTGACACATTTGTCTTCACGATAACCCCATGAGGTAGGCGCAGAGTGTCTGAACATCCAGGCCTCAGCCAGAGAGTTGAGGGGCAGAGCCGGCTCTCCCACCACCAGCCCAGTGATGCTGGGCGCACTGGCTGTTCGGAGGCCTGGGAGGCTCAGCTGTGAACAGGCAGGGTGGCGTCCTCCCTCCTGCGTCTGCGCAGGTCCACAGCCCACTGCCTGAGAGCAAACGCCTGTTCCTGCAGCAGGGCAGGTGGTACTGCCCATCTGATGTCAGGAATCAAGGCCCTACAAGTTGACTTCCTGAAATCCTCATGGCCCATAAGAAGCTGAGAAAAGACCCGTGCAGTGTGGCTAAGTAGTTGAGTGTCGACCTATGAACCAGGAGGTTATGGTTTGATTCCCGGTTATGGCATACACCCTGGTTATAAGCTCGTTCCCCAGAAGGCAGCTAATCAGTGATTCTCATCCTTGATGTTTTTACCTCTCTCCCTCTCCCTTCTCTGAAATCAATTTTAAAAAGAAAGAAAGAAAGAAAATCTAAGGAAGGGCAAACACCAGTACTCGGCTCCCCAAGTATCTCTGCTTCCTGTTGGGACTGGAAGTGTCTGCAGGGCTCATTGGAATCCCAGGGACTGGCTGGAGAGCCGCTCAGACACCTGAGGCCCATCTTTGTGTGCTCTGCTGTGGTCATCCTCCCCAGATTGTCCCCCGAGGGTGGACACTTGTTTCCCCAACTCAGGCTAAAAGCCTGCTGGGCTGGTGGCCAAGCTTCTGTGTGAAGCCCAGGCCTCTGGCAGATAACACCACCCCTCGTCCTCCTCCAGCCCCAAGCTCCTGGGAGCCCATGCCAGGCCCCTCAGTGCTAGAGTTCTTCATCGCCCAGATCAGTAGGCTCTCTGCCCTCCCCTTACATGTCAGACCACATGCTCATCAGTCCATCAGTAAGGTCAGGTGCTGCCTGCACCCCAGTGTGCTGCCTGCACCCCAGTGATGGGCCCACTCAATACCCAATTACAGAATATAACTCTGAACCACAGTTAACATGGACCCTTCCTGTGTACTATGCTCTGTCCTAAGCCACAGACTTCCATATTTTGTTTAATCCCCACAACCAGCCTGTGAGGAGGATAGGTCCTTCCATTATTCCCATTTTAAGCAGAAAAGAATGAGGTTCAGAGAAGGCAATTGAACCCCCCAGCTTGGCATGGCCGATAACAAGTGGACAGGCCTAGTGTTGGAACCAGGCCAATCCCACTCTGGCCCACTCCCGGCCCTGCCTCGACACTGCCCTCCAGAGAAGGAAGAGGGGGCTGGGGCTGCCCTCTGCTCTGTGGATCTAAACAGCTGGGAGGGAGACAAGGGGCCGCTTCGCCCTTCTGCGGGGGCAGACTAACACAATTAAAATGAACATCGTGCTTAAACTGAAACATTTAATTGGTACGTTGGTCCTGAAGATCCCGGAGTCCCTATTAGAAAAGAAGGAAGAATTGTCAGCAGTCTGTGCATTCCCGCAGGAGGATTGGGGCGGGTGGGGAGGCACAGCCTGGGGACACGGCTGCCTCCTCCAAACGGGGATTTTTGCTCCTAATCCCCAGCTCACTAATTATGATTATTATCGTTATTATGCTTTTACCGAGTACTTCTCTATGGACACGTTTTGCTCTGTTTTTATTATTAGCCCATCAATAGAGGAAAGGGATTGATGCCAGAGTGGTGGGCAGAGCCCCAGGCTGGGAGGTGGAGAGAAGATTGTGGCTCCATTCCCCCTCGCTGCTTTAGTGTCCCCACCTATAGGGGTGCCCACCCCTCCCCCCTCTAGCTTAGAGAGAGTCTTCAGGAGGTAGTCTGTGGCTTAGCCCATTGTGCAGGCAGTAAACCAGGCATGGTGTGTGTCAGGACTTGGCCTAGCTACCCAAATAAAAAGACATAGGCCCTGCCCGTTTCAGATTGAGCAGAGAGGGGGAAAAAAGACCTGAAATAAACCAAATTAGGGTGTTAAAGCGCAGGCTTAACTGATTGGTCTGTGAAGGAGCTCAGGTCCCTGAAGAACTACCTGTCCCGGCTCTTGGCCCCTGGGAGGGAGTCCTGGGGCTCATGCACCGTGGAGGCTCTGGGCCACATTTCTAGCAAGTGAGGTTTCTCGGTCCCTGGGATAGGGCTGCCCACGGTTGATTAACCACCCAGACCATACTGAGAGGTTCTGGAGAAGAGCTGCCCTCCATCCCTGGCATCATGGGTACCTTCACTCGGCTCCCCCAGCCCCGCTCTGCCCAACCTAGGACGAGGGCATGGCTATGAAGGGCCCAGCTCCTACACGAGGTGGTGAGCACTGCCCACGGGTTTGGTTCTGCAGCCGGTAGACCCTGCAGTAGGATGGGGAGTCCCTGTGTTCCCGCTGGGACCTTACCTCCCAGCATCTATGTGGAGGCACAGCCAAATGTTTAGGGTGTTTCATCTTCCCATGAGCCTTTTCCAACCACCCGAGAAAGGCCCCCATCGCCCCGTGTGCACTGTGCTTTGCAGTTTACAAAGCTCATCAGAGTGGATGAGTGGTGAGTGGATGTAGGCTGACTTGCCTACCAGCCCTTTCAACAGGTGGGAAATAGCCACAAAGCTCAGGGCTTGGCCACACGTGAGGTCATGGCAGAGGTAGGGTCACCCCCTGAACCCAGGGGGTGCGAGCAGGGGGTTACCGGTGGTGTGGGCAAGTGGAACAAGGAGGAGGCGGTGGCTTTTGCTGCTGAGCTGCTTTTAACATCCCAGACGCTATTTGCCTCGGTGGGTTCATTGCCTCTCTGCATCCCCAACAATCTGTTCCTCTGTCTTCTCGCATATATATAGATTCCCTCCCTCAACTGTAAGCCTTCTCCCACTTTCCATCCTCGCCCTTCCATCACGTGGGCAGGCAGGCTCGGGAAGTGGCAGATCAGAGCAGCCGCGGGGGAGGCTGCTGGCAAGGGTAGGAAGGGCCCAAGCCCAGCAGAGCTCCCACCCTCGGGCGGTGCCTTTCTGCTTTCTTGTCACTTTTCCTCTCCCCAGCACCCTGGGGCTGAGGCCTGGAGCAGGCTGGGAGGTGGGCAGGGTGGTCCCTGGAGGAGACCTGGGTCCCCGGCTGTGACCTCGGAAGGTCCCTCCTGGTCTCCCCACTGGCCAGAGAGAAAGCAGAACTCGGGCCAGACCTGGTCTCTGGGGAAAGGGAAGCAGGCTCCCCACTTCCTGGCTCAGGGCTCCGGGGCAGCGCCTGCGGTGGTTACAGTCTCCAGCGCTGCGGTCCCAGGCTAATCCACCGAGTACTAGGGCACAGCTGCTGCTGCTTTTTCTTTGAATGTCTTACCTGGAAAATGTAAAGCGCACCCACAGATAGACCAACATAAAGAACCCGCACATACCCTCCCAGCCCGTTTCATCCAAATCCTCCACTTAGTTATCACTTTAAGGCACAACCACCATATAAAGTCACACCTGAAAAAGTGACCTGCCCGTCGGCGTCCCCACTTCATCCACATGGTCTCATGACTGGTATTTTTCATGTGTGCGCAGGTAAGGGCACACCCTGCTGTGGTGCTCTCAGTGTTACTGTTGGTTTTCCCCTGTGGAAAACTGCTGGTCCCATCCCAGTGGCTGCATGCACATGTGGGTGGGACCAGCAGACTGAGCCACTCCCCAGGTGGACGCACATTGTGTCCGTTCAGCAGGGATCCGCCTCTGAAGTCCGTGTGTGACCTTAGGCAGCTCTCTTCCCCTCTCAGGACTTGCGGAGCTAACCTTACTGACCTCAGGGGTTCGTTGTGAGGGTTGGAGGGGCTCCTGTGAGCTGTGAGGTGCTGTGCTGGGGCTTAGCAGGTGCGCGGGCGGGGGGAGCTGCGAGTACTCGGGGGGAACAGCCTCTGCCTGGCTGCCCTGAGCTCTCAGGACCCCCTTGCCTTGTCAAACCCTTCCCCACCCCACCTTTCCCTCCCCCTGGCCCAGCCTTTAATCACTGGGGGGATGTTTTTGTTTTTGTTTTTTAAGGTGATTAAAACCCCTCTGATTTTTGTCGACCCTAATCGTAGTCCAGCTGGTCAGGCTGCTACCCCTGTGCCCACCCAGGCTGCAAGTGCCCCAAAGAAGGCCAGGAGCTCCTCGTCCGAGAGCGAGGATGAGGATGTGATCCCCGCTACACAGTGCTTGACTCCTGGTGAGCATGGCCCCCCACCAAGGGCCAAATCCCCCACTGCAACGGCCGGGCCGGGCTCAGCTGCCAGCGGGGAGGGGAGGCTGGCAGGGCACAGAGCACGTTGTTGGTCAGGAGGTCCTCCGGGCCAGCAAGGTCTGTGCGCACTGCCTGGGTCCACCTCCAAGAGGGACTGGCTGAGGAGGAAGATTTGCCAGCTCAGAGGCTAGAACTCTGGCCAGAGGCCGTGGGCAGCAGGGACCAGGTTTCTCCAGTCTGCGGAAGAGCTTGGTCACAGCTGTCTGCCTGAATCTCGAGAAGGCTGTGAGGTGGTAGTGAGCCTCCCGTTCCTGGCATGTAAATGGGGTTAGGTGATCCCTAAACACATTGCAGGGAAGATTCCATCTGTCAGTGGGAGACAGGACCACATCTGGGATTTCTTTGATGTTTGCAACCTTTTCTTGATAGCAGGAAAAATGGTTAATAAATGTTTTTATGACATTTTTTAATGAGGATATTAATGCCTAATTTGGAGAGGCTAATTAAGAAATACAGACTAGCACCAAAGGAAAAAACATTACCTATAATCCTACTGCCTGGAATAGTTACTGTTAACATTTTACAGCTATTAATTTGACAAAAACCTAAGCTATAACTGTGTTTTTAGTTATATGCTGTACATATGCTCAGTAATCTTTAAGAGATAATATTGTGGCATACACATTTACAGCATCATTCCCTCTGGCTACAGAGCAGTCTTTTGGGTGGGCATGCCGTAGTTTATTTAGCCAGCGCCACGTTGGAGGAAGTGGGGGCTTCTGTTTGGGCCGTGGAGGCGTTTATATGCAGTACTTCAGTGAGCGTCATGTACCTGAGCCTTTGCAGCTGACCACGGTGGCTTTCATAGACTGTGCTAAATACAAGAGTCTCCTTTGGCAGCCGGGCCGGCTGGGGGGACATCACGAGAACTGGAGTGTGGGGAGGGGCTGGGGAGAGCCAGGGTCACTGTTCCAGCAGCCATGTGACCTCCTGAGCCTTGGAGCATGGGCAGTGTGACAGTTCCTGCCTAGAGGTCTGGGGAAGGTATGACACAGGCTTCTGTGCAGAACCCTTGGGTACCACACCTGGTCCCCGGGAAGGGCTAATAAATTGGGTGTTGCCACAGCTGGGGAGGTCATGGGCTTCTGTGACCTAACGTGCACTCCACCCCCTTCCATTTCAGCCATTAAATCCAACACAGTGACCATGCCCACGGCCCACCCAAGGACAGCCCTCGGAGCCAGCAGCAGTGAGGTGTCCAGTCGGGTGACAAAAGGCAAGAAGCAGGAGGCACCTGCCACTCAGGTATGTGGCAGACAAGGGAGGCCTGTGCAGACCAGCAGGGTGGGGGCTCCCTGCCCTCCCCCACGTACCCACACGTGCTGCTAGCACCCACCACCACCACCAAGAGTAGCTGCTCCTCACAGCCAGCTTCTCCTGGCCTCTGGCTACAGCCATTCGAGCTCCCAGAAGCCTGTGGGTGGTCAGGAGGAGTATCTGGGAATGTGGCACCGGGCAGAGCACTGACGCCCTGAGAGGCCCTGTCCGCTTTGTTCTGTTTTAGCTCCCAGGGCTGAGATGCCGGGAACAAAAGTTGCCCTCTTTTAGTGGGTGTGCTAGTGACTTAGTAACTTCCCAGCCTCCATCGTTTTCCATGCATTTTTGTTTGGTCCTTGCCTGGATCTAAGTGTGGGCAGTGGAGCTAATGCTCACTGTTCTGGCGATGGGGCAGGGCCAGAGCTCAGGTCTCCGGGCTCCCAGGCATGGCTCTGTGGGCCACACCTGTTGGTTTTTCCGTTTCCTCATCTTCCTTTCTGAGAGGACAGGAGAGAGGTGGGGGAGGCCGGAGCAGGAGTTGGGCACCCCAGCTCAGAGGGCTCATCACAGCTGGGTGTCGGGGCTGTGGTCACTGCATCCATTTGGCCATTTGACCAGCAGGTGGTGCTGAGTATCTGCCTGCCAGGTGGAGGAGGGAGGTTGGGGGGGATGCAGCAGAACAAGAAGTGCCTGCCCTGGGGAGTTCCCAAGTGAGTGGGGTGGCAGCCACTAACAAAGGAAACCAAAAATAGAGTTCTCACGAAGTGGTGGGTGCTTCGCAGGAAACAATAGTGCCGAGAATGATGGGATGAGCTGCTTTAGAAAGGACGGGCAGGGATGGCCTCCTGAGGAGGTGATGTGGAAGCAGGAGGAGCAGCCAGGCCAGCGAGCTGGGTCCGCTCCAGGCAGGGAATCCAGCTGCAGGGACCCTCTGGGGAAATGCCTGGAGGTCGGAGCTGAGGAAGTCGTGTGAAGTGAGGGCTGCATGGCTGCCGGAGGAGTCATCCCCGTTCTCTTCGTTCTCTCTCCCTAGTTGCGGGTGGGTGTGGGAAGCAGGAGTGGCACGAGGGAGATTGTTGGGGAGGCTGTTCCAGCCACCAGACTAGAGACTTGTCCCCAGTGGAGCTCAGATTGACTGGTAGGGGCTGAGAGTGTTCTTGGACCCTCTGAGAATGATGTGATTAGCTCAGAACCCAAAGCCTGGCACTATTTCCTGCCCAGGCAGTGGCATGGCCCCTTGGACCACCCCTCAGTCCCTACTCTAGTCCCATGGCTCCTTGTAGATACAGGCCCCCTCCCATCCTAGCAAGATGGGAGAGATGACACCTGAGAGCCCAGAGTCTCAGGGCTGCCTTTGGCTGTCCACAGGTGACAAAGAGGAGCCTGGCTAACCTCCCGCTGACCCAGGCGGCCCTGAAGGTCCTTGCCCAGAAAGCCAGTGAGGCCCAGCCTCCTGCTGCCAGAACCCTGTCTTCAAGTAGGGTGAGCTGGGGAACCCCCAGGAGTCCTGGCCCTACCCTGGAGCGGATAGTGATCAAAGACCACAGAGGGTAGAAGGGCGGCCCAGGCAGGGACTCAAGTCCTGGCATCATCACCCACCTACTCTGTGACCAGAGCGCACACTCGCCTGCCTCCCGGGCCAGGGCTGCCCGACTGAGAGCTGTGGGAGGATTGAATGAGGCCTGTGCACAACCAGCACGGTGCCCGGCCCTTAGCTGAGGTGCTCGGTAAGATCAGGATTCATTCCCCCTAACTTTTCTCCTACTCTCTCCTTTCCCCAAATTAGATCGACGGTGCCCTACGCTCACTCCCTGTGGCGAGCCCCAAGAGCTCCCCCGTGAAAGCAGGCGTGACCAACCAGGTCAGAAAGCCCAAGGCTCCTGCAGTCCAGCAGGCCACCGTCCCTCCCTTGGGACGCCCCAAAGCCAAGGCCTCTGGGACCTCAGGTGATAGCGACAGCAGCAGCAGCAGCTCTTCAGGGAGCGAGGAGGATGCGAAGAGGCCCCAGGCGGCCCTGCTGGCCCACAGGCTGGGTGAGGACTGGGGCGGGAGAGGCTTGGGGGGGTGCTGGAGGAGGGAAGCAGTGGCTTTGTGGAGCGCGAGGCTCAGGCCGTGGCTCTGTATCCACTGGTTCTGCCACCTTGGCCTAGTCATCCCATGCGGGGCCTCAGTTTCCCCTTCTGTGGAGCCCCTTGAGGAAGTTGGTCCAAACTCTGTCAAAGATCTCCTGATGCTGCTGTTTGACCATTTCCGACTTTTTGACCATACCTGACCCTTACCACAATCCCAAAGTCAGCAACTAGACTGGGAATGCTTAGCATTCAGGTGTCTCGCCTGGAATGCCTTGAACACGGATGAGAGGGTGAGGCGGACCCGGCCATCCCAGGCGCCCCCCTGAAAGGCTGCCCTGCCCAGCTGGCAGGGGGCGTACCTGAGGCTCCCAACAGGATACCTGTGCTTCTCTACAGGCCCAGTGCCCGCGGGGAGTGAGACCTTGGTGGAGGAAACCCCAGCAGAGTCCAGCGAGGATGAGGTGGTGGAGTCTTCCCAGGTAACAGCAGGGGGGCTGGCAACATCGGGGTCCTAGGCCAGGAGCCCCAGGCTGGGCCCTCCTCTTCCCAGGGACCCTGGGCAGGGCCTTGCCGTGGAACTAGGATGTTTCCCCCAAAGCCCGTGTCAGCATGAAGGCTGAGGAGCTGACAGAAAGGGCCCACCTTGATGTTGGGTGATTCCCAGATAAAAACGTTCTTTAACCGATGGGATTATTTTAAGGTTATCATCCGCACATGGCAGACGCTAGTGATTTTCCATTTGCATCAGTAATAAGTTTCCTTTTTAAATGTGCCTGCTTGAGATATGTATTAATTAAAATAGCACAGGAAGTACACACAAAGGGCTACATCCCCACTACCAGCCCAGTAGGTCTGACCCAATCTTGGGGTCCCCTGGGCTGCTTCCTTCTCAGCAGGCCATGCTCCCAGGGCTGGGATGGGGTCCCTGGGCTGCTTCCTTCCCAGCAGGCCGTGCTCCCGGGACTGGGATGGGGTCCCAGCCCCTTTCACACTGGGCTTCTTCAGTCTCTCCTCTCAGGTCATGTGCCCCCTGGGCTGACTCCAGCCAATTCCCAGGCTGCAAAGGCTACTCCCAAGCCAGACCCCGGCCCCTCGGTTTCTTCTGCTTCGGCCACCAAAGATGCCCTGGGTGGCAAGCGGAAAGTGGAGCCCCCACAAGCACCAGGCACCACGTCCCCTAAGACAGGTGAGTCCAGGGCAGCAGGAGGGACACAGCAGGACAGGGAGGGGCAGGCAGTGGACTCCTTCTTTCCCTCCTTCAGAAGCGGTCTCACCAGCGTGGTCCTGTCTCTCCAGGCCTGGTGCTCATCGAAGGGTAGGGGCCATGCCCAGGGGCCTGACTCCTCCGGTCATCAACCCTGTGGCTGCTGGCGCACGTGGCAGGCCGCCTGTCCAGAGATGCGCCGTGGCTTGTGGAGTATGGGGCTGGGCCCTCTGTGGCCGACCCAGTTGACTTTTCTTCCTAACAAATGGCTCATGGTGTGGGTTTGGGAGTCTGGGAGCCCAAATGAAAGGCAGGAGCCGCATTTGGGGAAGTCTCTAGCACATGGCGAAGACCCCGGGCAGTGGGCTGACTCTAAAGCCTCAGAAGGGCCTCTGTCCTAACCAGGTGTGGTAGGGTCGATGCACCCAGTCGGTGGCAAGGTGTGGCACACATAGAAAGTAGTCACGTGCCACCCGCAACTCTGCCAGAGCTGAGGAACAGGGATCTCAGATGGGTACACCTGAGACAACTTAAAGGGTCCCCAGCCTCGGTGTTCTGGGTGTTGGTAACAGAGAACCGGGAAGTGGGCTGCAGGGGCAGAGGCTGCCATGGCCAACTGAGCCCTCCTCTGTTTCCCCTCCACCAACTGGTGCCTTTGCTAAGCACAGAGGACTGAATTGGGCCTCTGTCTGTCCTGGACACTCACTGGTGCACTGCTCTAGACCCAGAGCCGCTTCAGGCCCCGCCCTGGGGCCCACTGCACGCCCCAGGGAGCAGCCCCACCACTGAACACCCCTGAGCCCAGTGTGTAGGGGGCTGTGCCTATGAGGCTCTGAACCGGGTCCGTCACCTGGAAGTTGGGAGTGGGGAGGGGTAAGGAGGAGGGCTGATGTCCCACAGACCGGGGAACAGAGCAGCTGTTGCTCACTTCCTTCCTCAGCGATCTCTCTGGGAACGGGCCAACAGGCCGACATTTTAGAGGGGCTGTGGAGGTTTTCATTTTCACACATGTCAGCACAGTTATCAAAGGAGAGCAGAGGCGTGGAAAATTCTAAACAAAGGCTGCTCTAGGAGTCACTGGCAGGCTGTTAATCTGCTGATCAACTGCCACATGGTCACACCACACCCATCACTCCCGAGCCCCGGGTCCTGGACAGGAGGGGGCGACCCACTGTGAACAGAGGGGCGTGAGATGAACGGGTGCACAGCCGTCAAATTTATGTGAATCTACAGTTCAGAATACAGGACCTCACTGTTCACGACCCCTCATTTTACAAACACGAAACAGACTGGGAGGAGCAGGGCCACACAGCCAGTCAGTGGGAGACAGACCCAGAGCCCAGTCTCCTGCTTCCGGGCTCTGGACTCCGTGTCTGGCCTTCATTGTGTTGATAGATCTCAGGCCTTTCACTAACATTCTGGCTTTCTGGTCCGTTCCCAGCCTGCACTTGAGGTTTCAGAGTGAGGAGACCGAAAAGAGCTCTGAGGTTGAGGGTGGGAGGAAGATGTGAGCTACCTACCAGTGTGGGCAGAATGACCTCGGACCCTCTGGCTCTTGTACCGTGAGAGGTCCGTTTCCCGGTCCGACAGGTCCATGTCACACGTCCTCTCCCCACAGGCCGAAGGGGGGCCAGCACCACACCTCAGAAGCCCGGGAAGGGGGCCGGGAGCCCCGAAGCCTCGACGCTGGCCCTGCACAGCGACATCGCCCGGCGGCTCCTGAGCGAGCCCTGGCCCCTGAGCGAGGCCCAGGTCCAGGCCTCGGTGGTGAAGGTCCTGGCAGAGCTGCTGGAGCAGGAGAGGAAGAAGGCTGCGGGCTCCGCCAAGGAGGGCAGCAAGAAGAGCCACAAGCGGAAGCTGTCGGGAGAGCAGGCCGCGGCCAGGGCCCCCAGGAGCAAGAAGAAGAAGAAGCTGGCGGCCGGGGGGGGCGGGGAGGGTGCTGTTTCCTCGGAAAAGGCCCCCAGCACTGCCCAGGGGAAGCCTAAGAGAGACACAGCAAGTGGTGGCAGCAAAGAGAAGGACAAGCCAGAAGGGGAGCCAGAGATGGTGATGGTTGAGGGTGGAGGCCAAGCCAACCCGAAGAACAAGGAGAAGAAAAAATCTGACAAGAGTAAGTGGCCATCCACAGCCTGGAGCACGCCTCCCCAGCCCTGTGCTGAGGGCTGACTGTCACCACACGGGCGGGACGGGCCCTCGGCCAGCACAGAAGCGGGAGGATGAAGATGGTTTGTCCAGGGTCATGGGGGGCAGCTATTGACAAAATGCCCCCAGAGCACCTGGGCCTGCTGGCAGAGAGACCCAGTGCTCCTAGAGGGGCCTGCTCCCCACAGCGCTCAGTGAACCTTCAGCGTCAGGCTTCTCAGTCCACGCTTCTAGACCACAGCTCCCCGCAGAGGTACAGCTGCCCCTGTGAGCTCTGTGCAGGAATGCATGTGGAGGGACCTCATTTACCCCTGTGTAATAGGTGATACTGCATTCCCACTTTCCATAGAGAGTATCTATATTAATAAAAGGGTGATATGCTAATTAGACTAGATAAACCAGACGTTCTTCCAGAAAAAGCCATGGTGGCAGTGGCGGGGCTGAGGCAGAGGCGGTACGGGGTTTTTAGACCAGCAGGGGAGAGCAGTTAGGAGCAATCAGGCAGGCAGGCAGGTGAGTGGTTAGAGGCCAGCAGTCCTGGGTTGTGAGAGGGAAGTCCCAGATTGGAGAGGGTGCAGGCCGAGCTGAGGGACACAGACCCCACCCCCGAGCATTAATTTTGTGCACTGTACCTCTAGTCTATAATAATAAAAACTGATACACTAATTAGACCAGACGTCCTTCTGGACGAAGCCGGGGCTGTGAGGGAAGCCTGAGTCCCAGGTGCCAGAGGGAAGCCAATGCCAGCAGCTGGGGGAAGGAAGGCCTACTCTTACACGAATTTCATGCATCGGGCCGCTAGCCTTAAGTAAATGTGTAAAAGTGAGATAAAGAAAAACAGTAACACTCCAGGTGTTCCATAGGTGGGGCAGAAATTATGAGGCCAGGGCAGGTGGTCACAGGCCTGAAGGCCTGTTTTCATGGCTCCCCGGGGTGTGGGGAGAGCTGGGGACCCAACATCGGGAGGAGGGACTCCTAGGATCTCTGGAGACCTGCCCTGCGTGTCTCCCAACATTGGTCCCAAGATTTAAATCTAACGTCTGTTATTTAGGAAGTTTACTTTCTTCCCTTAGAAAAAAAAGACAAGGAAAAAAAGGAAAAGAAGAAGAAAGACAAAAAGGCCTCAACCAAAGACCCTGACTCACCAACACGGAAGAAAAAGAAGAAAAAGGTAAAGTGGGGGTTCCAGGCCAGAGAAGGGACCTAACCTCGTCCCCAGGGGGGATGTGATGAGCCCCATCCTGTGCATGGCAGGCGACGGGGTGGGAGCTAGACCAGGGCCCTGCCCCATTTCCATACAGGGGTGAGTTGTGACTCTAGAGTAGGACCCCCCTCCCCCCGAGGAGGGTCAGGTCTGTGTAAAAGTCGTGAAAGTGACTTCCTGCGGGTGAAGGAAGGAAATCCTAGGCACAGGGAGGCTGTTAGAGGTCCCAGGTGGGAGAGGAAGTGTTCCCCAAGATGTGCCCCAGCTGGCAGAGACCCCTCCACAGAAACACTCACACGTCTGCTTCATGGGTGGTCAAGGCTGCTCACCTGAAGGCTGGGGGTGTGGGGACTCGGCACCTGTACAGATGCCTCACTGGCCCCCAGGCCTTGGCTGTGTTCAGGGAAGCTGAACATCTGTGCCGCACAGTGCTGGGCTCCTTCCTTGAGAGTGTGTGGGGCACCGTCCCTGTTCTCAGGAATCCCTGTGCACTCAGCATCTGTTTCGGGGGGTAAGGAGGGGGAGCCTCGGATCCTCAGGCGGCAGCCCTCATGCTCTCCTGGTGGGGGCAGCATGGGTGAGGAGACCGTCAGGTACATGAGTCTCTCACCTTCTTTTCTCACAGAAGAAGACAGAGCAGCAGACTGTCTGAAGAGCACAAGACATCAGGTACACTTCCTGGCCCAGGGTCCCTTGCTAAGCATCTGATCCCTGGAGAGAGGAGGGGGGCTGGAAGGGGGACTCCAGCATTGCCGTTGTCCCCAGGAGCCAGGCAGGGTCTGGGAAGTGGGCCCCACAGGAAGGGGGTGGAGAAAGGTGGTCACTCACGGTCAGTGGCCGGCACCCGGTGCTCCCTGGGTGCAGACACTGCACATGGCCTAGGAGATGGGCCCTGGGGTGGCGCCCTCTTTGTGGATGAGGGTAAGGCTTGAGCTCCTCTCCCTCCCTGCAGGCCAGATCCTTTCCCTTGTAATCAGTAACTTGAGGGCATTTGCTCACGGGAAAGAAGATGGTTTCCCCGAGAGGAGCCATTCGATGGGCCTGTGCTTCCGCCGGTGGGGAAGGGGTAACGTGTCCAGCAGGCCCGCATCTGCTGTGAGCGCCCGCCCGGCAGATGGCAGGCATAAGGGAAGTTAGACACTCAAGCACTCGGCCGACTTCCCGGGGCGTGGCCAGTGCTAGTGTCCACCGTAGTTAATGCCTGCCCCCTGCATCTAGATGCCAGGGTTTGAGTTGATTTGATACTCCTTAAAGTAGAAAAAAGTCAGGAAATTTCTGTCTCATGTGTGTCCTTCCCCATGGGTTGGAATGAATTTTTAATTTCCCCTTCCTCCCCAGAAGATGGCCAGCCGCATTGTCGGTGGTGGCTCAGCCCACAAGCCCTGCAGAGGTTGGTCCGAGGAGGAGGAGGAGGGAGTGTGCCCAGTTCCGAGCCCTCCACTCGCTGACCCGTGCCTGACTTCTATCCTGACACAGGACACTTCGTATAGATGTGTACAGTATATATATATGTGTGTGTGTATATATATATATATATATTTTTAAGTGACATGCCCCTCCCTCCTCGGACCCAACATGCCCAGAGACCTCAGGACCTTCCACCCTTCCCCGTGCAGACCCAGTGAGGCCCAGCCTGCCGCTCCTTCCCCGGCCCTGGTCCCTGGCTAACACTGAGGGTTTGTCCTTTTGTCACTTTTTTCCTGTTTTGTGTTTTTGTAAGAACTCAGAAAATAAAAGACTTGAAGGAAAGGTGCAAGTTCCAGTGCACCTGGGGCAAACATTTTGCAATTGACTTATTCTTGGGAGTCTGGCTGACACTTGAGGATTTGTTGACTACATGTCGAGGTTCTGGGATGCTGTGCTGAGTGAGACAGTTGGCCTCAGTGAAGTACCTGGTACTAAACTGGTGGGGGAAGGCTTCCTGGAGGAGGTGGCATAGCTAAGAGAGTGCGCAAGCATGGCCATGGTTGGTTGCCAGGTGCTGGGGTAGGCCAGACAAATACCCAGAAGGCAAGAGATGGAGAGGGCTTTCTACGCCACCTTTTGAAGTTCAGTTAGGACCGGAATTGTGGGCAGGCCCTTTTGAGGTACCTGGTGGAGAATGGCTGGGGCGGGCACAGTAGGAACAGAAAACCAGCTAGGACTGAGTTGCCCTTGTATCCAGGTAACAAAGGTTCTGCAATAAGGAAGACAAGGAGTAGATGAACTTGAAAGACATGTCAGGTGACGTCTCCAGAACTTGATGGCCAGCAGTGCAAAGGCCCACTTCCCGGGGCCCAGGGCAGTGAGCAGCTGGTCAGGTTTTCCTCCCTGGTGTTTAGCCTCCTGCCAGAGACAGCGAGGGGCCGGGCAGAAACAGTCAGCACTGAGCTGGGGAGATCTTGGAGACTGAGGTTAGCATCCAGCTATACCCTTATCTGGGTGGCCTTTGGACAGGCCCTCAAAGCTTCTTACTCCCCGCAAGTGTGTTGGTCTAGGAATCCTGGTGGGCTTCGTTGAAATGGAGACTTTACCCAGAACATTTTGATTTTGGCCTCCTCTCGAAAGTCAAGAAATTTGGCAACAGGAGCTTCTGCGGCTGCGGGGGTCCTTGTGTTGTTGCATTTGATTTCTTGGTGTAGCAATGATAAGGGGTGTGAGGAGATGGAAGCTGGACCAAGAGAAGCTGGGGCTTAAAGAACTTTGGGCAAGAGCCTACTTCCTTTTGAAGGAGAGTGTGCCTCTGGTTAAACATGGAAACCAAGTGTGTCTGTGCCCTGCCTGGCCCCCCAGGCATCTGTGTGTGGGCTCCCCAGGTTGCTTCCTCCCACCCAGACCATTGGAGTCAAGATCTTCAGCCAGTGAACCAGGTCCCAACAGAACAGCCAGGAACCGAAAGTGTTCTACTTACTACCTTTTATTCGGAGCCATGTTGCTAAGGGCTGATGGCAAGCTTGCTGCGCGGAGGAACTGAGCTTTGGCAGTGGGGAGGGGGAAGGCTGTGGTGGAGAGGCTGGTTCTGGGGAGAGGGAAAGGGTGGCTTGTGCCTCGGTTACCTAGGCTGGAAAGCCAAGGCTAAAGCCAGAGGGGAGAAGTGCCGTCCCCTCTCCTGCACCTTCTCTCCTTGTCCATGGGTCTAGGTCTTGGAGCTCCATGTTGGAGGCTGCTGTGGTGTCAGAAATGGGGGTCAGCCTAGCTCATGGTCCAGCTCCTTGGGCCTTGTGTGTCTGCTGGTGAATGTAGGCTTGGGCAGCAGGGCCCTCCTGTATTGTTAATCTGTGCTGTCTGGTGTGATGGAGAACCAGGTGGCAGGGTCTCACATAATGAGGTGCAGGGTGGGAGACGGCGGGAGCAGGGCATGTAAGGGGAGGAGTATGTGGCTAGGTTTGGGGGACAGGAGAGAGCGAGGACGCTGTGGCCATGCAAGGCTGACTGGGTGCTGGTATCTTCAATTGCTGTCCTCACATGGTGGCTAGAGAGAGAAGCAGCAGGTTAGGCTTGGAGTCACCATTGTCCCTGCCCCTTCCCAGCATCCTGGGGCCTCAGAGCAATGAAGGACTCTGCACCCTCCCATGCCCCCTGCTCAGGTACAAGCACTGACTATGATATAGACACCCACAGCACTGTTCCTCATCTCTGATGTAGACGTCTCAGGGAGGGTTCTGGAGAATGGGCCAGGGTCATGCTGTGCTGGACATCCACCCATGAGGGAGTTGGCCCAACTGGGGACTGGATCTCCTCTGGAGGGGCCCTTACCTTGGACCAGATCCTGCTTGGTCACGCCCAGCCCAGATGACAGATCCTCCATGTCCAGTGGTTCTGCAAAGGAGCAGCAAGGACATTTGTTACGTGAAGTTCAGCTACTGCACCCACTGGTGAGGGGTTTGGGGTTATTTCTTCCCATCCTGGGCACAGGCTGGTCCTGGAGAGCAGGTGCTGCCTGGGAGGATGCGTGCTGGATGGCGGCAGTGAGGTATAGTTGGGGAGTTGAGAGAAAGGCCAGGAAGGGGGTGATGAAATGGGTGGGTCTGTAGGACTTCCGGATGCACAGAGGATAGTGCACAATGAAAGGCTCGGACGAATGAGTAAGATGATGTATGTAAGGAGAGAAATGATAGATGGACGAACAGATGAGGAGTGCACAGGGATGTAGGTGGACAAAGCGGTGGGTGCATGCATGGCTGAGTGGCTGCCCCCCGGGGGCTTACACCTTGAGTGTCCTGGCCACATGTGTGCCAGGAGGGGCCTTTTGGCCCTCCGCCTTCCTAGTCCTTCCTGCTCCTTTGACACTCGTTGGCACAGTGGCCACTGCTTACCACTGCAGCTATGGCGCCCACGGCTTCTGGTGTGGGGGACCTCGGTGCCGTTGGGGAAGACGCACCAGCAGTAGCCGATGCTCCCAAAGCACTGGAGTGGCATATAGTTGCCGTTCTCGTCGCACTGGGGCTTGAACATGCCCAGGTGGATGGCGGGGACGCGGCTGGCCTCTTCCAGGCATTTGGTCGGTACTGAAGCGACAGGCACGGTGAAGACAGTGAGTGAGCAGACTCTGAGCCAGGGTCTCAGTAGAACAGATCCACATACCACTGCTGTGGGCCTAATGCCTTCTGCCCAAGTGGCTGTACTCTCTCTACCCATTGCACAGATGGGAAAACTGAGGACTGGACCAACAAGGTCCAAAATCAAAGAGGAAGTGAATTTTAAAATTTGATGATTTCGCCAAGACCGGTTTGGCTCAATGGATAGAGCGTCGGCTTGGGGACTGAAGGGTCCCAGGTTCAATTCCGGTCAAGGGCACGTGCCTTGGTTGTGGGTATATCCCCAGTAGGGGGTGTGCAGGAGGCAGCTGATCAATGACTCTCTCTCATCGATGTTTCTAACTCCCTATCTCTCTCCCTTCCTCTCTGTACAAAATCAATAAAAATATATTTTTTTTAAAAATTTGATGATTTCTTCCAACACTCCATGCCTATTAAAGCTTGTAATTTCACCCATGATCCTGATTTCTAAGGAAAAGCAATGGACGCCTTGGTAAGTCTGAGCTTCTGTTACTGGGGGATTGTTTGTGGATGTTGTAGAAAGGATTCAAACATAAGCTGGGAGTTGGTCGAGATAGCATCTAGTGCCTTTATAAATGTGATGAAAAAATCTGAGGCCCACAGGGGTGGACCCTGATTTTCTACTTCCTAAACTGAAGCCCAGAGGGAAGAAATGCCCAATGCTGCATGACAGATTATGACCAAGATTAAACATGACATTCTTCAAGGCTTTAGAGCTGAAAATCCTGGTGTACATTGTCCATAGGTGGAAAAAAGTTTTTCTTGTCTGGCATCCGCTGTCTTTGTGACCTCTGAGGGGTGAGGGGAAGGTCATTGCAGTGACTCCTGGAATGTTTCAGGTGGTTTCTGCTCCAGGCCCACTTGCCCAGAGCCATCCTCCACAAGCAAGACCTCTGTACTCTGGGCCCTCAGATCAGGATGGGGACCAGGGGGGCAGCCAAGCCCAGAGGAGCAGGCAGGAGAGACAGGAGTGATAGTTGAGAGGCTGGGGGAGTCCAGTCGCATCAGGGAGTGCTCTAGGCTCTAACTTTAGCTCTGGGAGAGCCCTGAGCGAGGTCTCAGGGATCCCAACTCCCTGTACCTTTTGGTGAACCTTCAGTGGGCTTCTCCTCCAGCGAGTTCTTGCTCATTTCAAACAAGAGCCACTGATGCATCCAGCTCTCAAAGACCTACAGGGGACAGAGGCAAAGGGTCAGGATCAGTAGCCCTCCTACCCTGCCTGGCTTTGCCCCTCAGGGCAGAGACACGGAGGGCCAGGCAGGGCCCCTGCACCCCATGGTCCAGCTGCATCGTGGTTCCCCCTTAGAGAACCAGGGGACTTGGTCAAGTTGGTTACCCAACTCCAAGTGCTTTTCCGTGTTGGTGGCTTTCTAAGTGCTGATAAGCCTCCTTCAGTTTCCTGAGAATGGCCTCCCCAGCCCCCTCCTCCTCACCTCTTCCCAGCCCTGCCCTAGGAGAGGGCGCCCGTGCAGGGAAGCCTGCTGACCTTCCAGTCCAGGCCCTCCATGGTGTTCTTGAGGTGCTTCAGGTTCTCTGGGAAACTCCCTTTCATCTGTGGGTATACCTTCAGGGGGTTGGCCCTCTGCAAGGTAGCAGGCAGGAAGTAAGGTTAAATGTGCAATTCATGTTCCCCTGGTCTTCTATTCTGAGTGGTGGGCCCAAGCTGGACCGCAGCCATGATGGAGCTGGGGGGGAGGGGTGACAGTAAAGGCAGTCTAGCTGCACGGGTACAAGACCCCAAGGCTGGAAGGTGGGAGACCCAGGCTCTAGGACCAGTTACACCAGAAACCATTCTCCTGCAGATGCCTACTCACCTTTCAGGTCTACCTCTTCCAGGAAGACTTTGTGAGCCCCACCCTCAGCTAGGTTGGGTCCTCTGTACCTTTCCTCACCAAGCCGCCTGCATGTCCCTCATCACTTGCCTGCTTCCCATGCTAACCTGGGATCCCCATGAGACGGGGACCTGGGTCTGATTGCTCCCCCTTGTAGGCCCAGAGCCTTGCACAGTGCTTGGCACAGAGTATTCATGCAGTAAAAACTTGAGAGGGAAAAAGTGGGTGCCTCAGTCTCTCCATCTCAAACACTCAAAAAAGATGGGGTAGTGGCAGGACTGGAATACATACAAAGTTTAAGGGCCACTCTTGCATTCCTTCACTAACTGGGCGAGCCCATATTGAATGTCTGCTATGAGCCAGGCAAGGTGCGGGTCTTGCAGGGTGGCCCTGCCAGGGGCTTGTGTGGGCAGGCAGGGCTACCCAGCCGGGACCCACTCACCTGGAGCAGGTGCATCACATGATCCATTGTGGTGTTGCCTTCCTTGGTGGCGTTCTGCATGGGCTGTGGGAGGAGGAGTGGGGGGTATCAGCAACTGGCCCACAGAGGACAGGCCCTGGCACGGAGGCAACAGCTGGGGCCTGGGTAAAAGCCTAGAGTCCCAGATGCTCCGCAGGCCGTCTCTGCCACCTCCAGATGCGAGAGCCTGTGCAAGTGACTTCACCTGTCTGCCTCAGTGTCCTTGTTGGTCAAACCTGCATACGCTTTCCCACCCAGAGCTTTGTGGACAGCAGGTCATTTTGTGAATAGCAGCATTATCCATACATAAGGGCTTTGAGAATAGGAAGGGACTGTGAGATGCGATGGAGCATGAGCAGCACCTTGTAAACTAGAGAGCAGGCCCTTGTGTCAGGAATGGCCTCCAGCCCTGGGCTTCCTCCTCTTCTGGAGGTGGCCCTGTCCTCCCCCAGCTGGGCTTTTCCTGGGTCGGCTCTTCTCCCATCCCTTGGCCCCTTGCCCTCCATCCAGGCTAGATAGCATTGTCCCCTTGCACTGCCCTGCAGTGGTCCTTACCCCCTGGAACAAGTCTTCCATGGGCATCGCCCGCATCAGCATGGGGGTGGCCACCCGCATCTTGCTCACAGGCTTGGCAGCTGTGGGGTCAGGAGGTACAGCATGAGTGTGGCCCCGGTGCCCAGGGAAGAGGGTACTCAGGTCTGGGGCCCAAGATCTCAGATCCAGATGAGGAGGGGCTCGGCTTCAGAGAGGACGGTGGGCCCAGCCAAGTGCAGGAATGGGGCTCTGAGGTGAGGAACGGTGGGGGGGGGGGGGGATAGGGGATGGAGGTAGGGCACGCACACTTGGGAAGCTTCATGCGCATGTTCTCCAGCTGCAGGTTCTGCGAGGTGACCGTCAGCTTGTCCAGCCGGCCCTGCTGCTGATACAGGAAGTAGGCAGTGGCGGCCTGACCGGCCAGGAGCAGAGCCACCAGGACAGAGAAGCCAGTGTACAGGGTTCCGCGGCTGCACTTGCTGTTGGGGGGAGGGAGGATACGTCACAGGAGAGTCCATGGAGGTGGCTTCCCTGAGGACTGGCTGGGGATGGGGGAATATGTCCCCCCGTTTCCATCAGCCCACCCACCTCCAGCTACCCCTAACACACACACACACACACACACACACACACACACACATACACACGAATAAGTGCCTATGGACATGCAGCCTAAAGACATTCCGCAGCCCCTACTCCCAACCATTGCTGGCCCTCCAGCCCTCCTGGAGCTGCCCCTGTGTCCCGGCTGAGTGGGGAAGAGCCAAGGACAAGTGCCTTGTCCTCTCTCAGCTCAATCCCCTAGGGTCCCTCTGCAGGGGGTCTCCTGAGGATCAGGCCTGCCCTCGAGGGGGCAATGAGTTACCATTCTACCCGCCCAGCCCCTGCATTAAAATCAGAAAAGGGAAGGAAGTGAGAGCGGACAGCAGAGCTTGCAGGCCCACCTGAAAAAGAGAAGTGAGGCCTTGCCATTTTAAGAGTAAGTTGGGGGCATTGGACAGTGTCAGGCTGGAGCTGGGCCAGGCACCACCCCCACTGGCCCAGACTCTGTGTCTGAGCAAGTCTCTGCTGTTCTCTGGGCCTGTCACGTGGGTACCTCTCACTTCAGCTTTTCTGGGCGAAGGCCAAGCACAAGGGATTGTTATCTTAGAATGAGAAAATAAAAATCCTGTGTGGGAAAGGAGGAGACCAGACAGGAGGGAAACAAATCCCATTCTTGGCCTTTCCGAGCCTCTAAAGATGGTGGAAAGCCCACCCAGGCCTGAGGCTTGCCTGGGATCACAGTCTCCAACTTATTATCTACCTGCCCACTCCCCTCGCCCCACGCCAGCCCAGTCCCAGCTCTGCCTCTGACCAAGTGAACTCAGGAAAAGCCCTTCCCTTCCCTGAACCTGTTTCCTATGAGGCCTAAGAACCTAGAGAGTTATATATATTGAAGATGAGACCACATAATCTTAAGTAAGTTGAAGTACGGACTTCTACTCAAAGGGTGGTATATTAAATAAGATCCTGAGGATAAAGCTCTCGCCTCCATTGCTAGCACATAGCACTCCACTGGAAACACTGACTGGCTATTCTCAAGGGAGTTAATAGCTAACTTTAATATCTGGCTTCCTTCCTCTTTATACATCTTGAATGCCTGTCCCCTGGGTTCTGGACCAGGGCCAACTCATCACCTCTCTTCACTTCCTCCTTTCCACTGCCTCCTTCAATAACAAAGTAATTGGTTCAAGTTGAGAGCCAATCAGAACTAGCAGGAACGATGATTCAGATGTTGCCAGGCAGAAGTGTTCACAAAAGGGTCTGAAACTGGCTCAAGTCTGGACCTGAGCCCGTGGGGTTTTTAGAAGCAGTAACTGAACTACAAGGAAAAACAGGATTTGGGAAGGGGGAGGAGGGGCACCCTGGAGCCCACACTAGGTCTGCAGCTCAGTGGGTGGTCTGAGCCAGACATGTCCCACCGCCCTGCTCTGCAAATTGTACTTACAGATGGTAGTCAGCTCAAATTTTGAAACCAGATTGGTCCTGGGTTCAAATTCTGACTCTAATATTCACTAGCTAAGATAACTTAGGTAAGTCACTTACCAAGATGAGCTTTAATTTTCTCATGTAAAAATGAGAATAAAAGTATATGACTCAGGGTTTCTGTGAGAATTAGGATTGAGTTTAGCATTTATTATGTGTCCATAATTACTAGCAGTGGCTGAGAACTGGTAACAAATACACAGTGATTGGCAACTATTATCATAACCATTATCATTATTACTGAGACCCAGAAAGAAGCAGTGATTTATCCAAGTCACATGTGACAGTACAGAACCTGGGACAGAATCCAGCCATCACCGGAGAGCTGGCTGGCCCTTCTAGCCTCCCCAGGATTTTTCACAGACCACTGCGATCATGGTCTGTATGTGGTTACCTGTGCCCCAGAATGCAGATCCTCGTGACTTCTCTGAGTGTCTCTCTCAAACCCCTCTCTACCTGGCAACAGCTGACATCAGATCTAGCTGTAAGTCCCAGTAATTCACAAATTAATTTTTGGATATTGGGGAGAGCAGGGGACATTCGGTAATTGCACTCTAGCCACCGCCCTTGGTTCAGACAAACACATGGGTGAGACCATCTTGAAGCGTGGGGGTGCCCTTGATGCAAGGGAGAGGGGCACAGGCAGAACACGATCCACATCAACCCTCAGCACCTTCTAGAAATTCAGCCAGAGCTCCCCTTGCCCTTTTTTGGCCTCCTCCTAACATCTCAATCCCTCCTGTGATGGCCGATGTCTCCATCTACTCTTGATACGAACACATATGCCCATCCCTGGTTAGTAGGAGGGAACTCCTCTATGATGAGCTGCTCTACCAATCTTTTAGAAACTTTGTCCCCCCATCTTCGATCTATAACACTTTTAAAATCTGGTCCAAGATTTCTAACCTAGAGTTCATGGCCCAGCTCCAGGGCGTCCCATCAAGCCTCTGACAATGTGTGAAACTCTAGGGAGAAAGTCCAGAGCTCTTTTCTGGTTTTCAGAAGAGACATACACGACATAAAGTTAAAAGCTCGGCACTACAGGAGCTCCCTCGTTTCACAGGAGGGAGAACCGAAGTCCAGGGCAGACCAGAGACTTGCTCAAAACCACCCAGGTATTGTTCGAGTGAGAGCCTCACTATGCCTCCCAGGACTCCGGGCTGGGGCTTCTTCCCGGTGCAGCCCAGGGCTCGTGTGCTCTCTCCTATGGCTCACACATACCTCTCCTGGGCTCCAGGACGCTGGCCCAGCATGGGCAGCTGCTCATGGTTGGAGATGAGGTCGCGCTGGTCTTCCATGGTTGTGCCTCTGGTCTAACCCAAGCGGCTTGCTGCTGCTGCTGCTGCTGCTGCTGCTGCTGCTGCTGCTGCTGCTGCTGTTCCTCCTCCTCGCTGCCTGTGTGTCTGAGACCCTGAACCCCCGGCTCACCTCTTAAAGTTGGGGCTGAGGAGAAATCTGATTGGTCCACAGGAGGCCACCTGGTAGAGTGGAAGTGAAAGCCACAAAGCTGGAAATACCCTGACTTGGGCAAAGCTGCCTTTGCTGGAGCAGGATAGAGAGGGGGAGCTTCCAAGGCAGGTAGAAAGGCCGGCGTGCTTCTATTGGCTGTCCATTGCTCTCATCACTTGTTTCTGGGCAGACCTTCAGATTCAGAAGGCTCTTTGAATGTTTCCAGAAATCTCTCACTCTCTAGACAAGAAATCATTTTGAAGCAGAAAATACCTTTGTTTGTCTCTCCTCCTCACTCATTGCTATGTGGGTGCAGAAAGAAGCTGCTCACCCTCTGTACGCTTAGACAAGTCCCTCTCCATCTCTCTGGCCTCAGTTATGTTATCTCAAAACAGGGAAGGAAAGTTGGATTTAGTGTTCCCTCTGCTCTCTTCTAACTCAAGTCTATGAACCTGAGTCTATGGTTTAAGTCTCTGGTACTAATACTTGCCACCCTGTACTAAGCCCACCTTTGTGCCAGGCCCTGTGCTAATTGGTTTACATGCTTTGTTCCCATTTAAATTTTATAGTGACCCTTTGAGGACTGTTTTATTTTATCATCTCCATTGCAAATAGAGACATGGAGATTTTGAAAGGCTATGTGCTTGCCCAGGATTATGCCTCTAGGAATTGGTGAAGCCCTTGTTTTTAACCACTCTTCCCTTCTCCTCCTAAGGCTCACATTGTGTGGTTCAAATTCAGGAGAGGGGGAAAGGAGTAGGAACTGGGAAAGGGTACCCAAGGGAGATTTAGCTGTGTTGGCAAGGTTTTATTTCTTATCTGTAGCTTGTATACAATGTTTGTTTGTTTGTTTGTTTGTTTGTTTGTTTTTAAATATATTTTATTGTTTTACAGAGAGGAAGGGAGAGGGATAGAGAGTTAGAAACATCGATGAGAGAGAAACATTGCTCAGCCGCCTCCTGTACACTCCCCACTGGGTATGTGCCTGCAACCAAGGTACATGCCCTTGACTGGAATCAAGCCTGGGCCCTTGAGTCCATAGGCCAACACTATCCACTGAGCTAAACCAGTTAGGGCTTCAATGTTTGTTTTATTAATCTTATATCTTTTGTGTGTTTTTAACTTAGCATTAATAAAAATTTTTAAATTTAAAAACTTTGTGGGTCTAAGATTCAGTGACTCATATTTCAAGAGTGAAGGGAGACAGTATATATGTATTGGATTTGGGGATGTGGGAGGGAGAACAGGCATGGCCTTTGATGCAAGAAGACCTGAGCTCTAATCCCAGATCAGAAACATCCTAGCTGTATGGCTTGAGCTAGTTCCTCAATTTTTGTGTATTGTGTTTCTCCTTTGTAAAGTAACAACAATAATACTAAACTTCCAGAGTTGTCAGATTAAATAAGCATTTAGCCCAGAACTTGGTACAATAAGAAATGCTAAATAAATTAAAGTGTTATTATTCAAATATTTATTGATATTTTCTGCCCTGATTTCAAACTATACTATGAATCTATAATTATCAAAACATAATGGGCCCTGGCCAACACTGGCCTGTGCCCCAGAGGGTCATGAGTTTGATTCCCAGTCAAGTACACATTATCTGTGGTTGCAGATTTGATCCCTGGCCCGGGTCCAGGTGCCATTCAATATGTCTCTCTCATATTGCTGTTTCCTCAATCTTTCATTTCCTCACTCTCTTCCCCCTTCTCTCCCTCCTTCCCTCCTTTCCTCACTCCCTCTACCCCTCCCTTCCACTCTCTAAAAATCAATGGAGCCAAAGCCGGTTTGGCTCAGTGGTAGAGCGTCGGTCTGCGGATTGAAAGGTCCCAGGTTTGATTCTGGTCAAGGGCATGTACATTGGTTTGCAGGCATATCCCCAGTAGGGGGTATGCAAGAAGCAGCTGGTTGATGTTTCTTTCTCATTGACGTTTCTAGCTCGCTCTCTCTCTCTCTCTCTCTCTCTCTCTCTCTCTCTCTCTCTCTCCCTTCCTCTCTGTAAAAAATCAATAAAATATATATTTAAAAAAACAATGGAAAAAATATCCTCACTCTTAGGGTGAGATGAAAATTTTTAAAATGGGATGGTATTGGTGCAAAAACAGACATATAAATCAATAAACAGAATAGAGAGCCCAGAAATAGGCCTTTGCTTATATGATCAATTAATCTGCAACAAATGAGACAAGAGTATGCAATGGAGAAATGGTCTCTCTTCAACAAGTGAATTTGGGGAAATTGGACCACTCTCTTACACCATCCTACCTAATAAAACAGTAATATGCAAATTAACCACCGCTCCGCTACACTCACAAGCCACGCCCACCAGCCAATCAGAACAAGTATGCAAATAAACCCAGCCAAGATGGCTACAGCCACAGAGAGCAAAGGGAGGCTTGGATTTCCCAAACAACAGGATCATCCTCCCGACCCAGGCTGTCCCTAGCCTTTAGGCCCGTAGGCCCTGAGTGGCGGGGTCCCGGAACACCTCCTGGCCATCGGAGCCTATGAGTGCAGGCACAAAGCGGCTGGGGACAGGGCAGGAACATCCCCGAGTCACTTTCCACCCCACCTGCAGCCACTTGGGAATGCTCCAGCACCAAGCAGCAGTTTGGGTCCACTCCCCCAACCTGAAGTCTCAGGCTGGCGGCAGCGCCCGCACCCATGGCAATCAGGCCATGCCCCCCAGCCTGGGGTCTCAGGCTGGTAGAGGCACTCGGACCCACACAGAGATCCCCTCCTGGGTTCTCAGCCACTGAGTCACACCAGCCAGGCAGATATGGAGGAATCTTAAATGTTTCATATATATATATATATATATATATATATATATATATATATATATATATATATATGTTTTGTTGATGTTTTACAGAGAGGAAGGGGAAGGGATAGAGAGCTAGAAACATCTATGAGAGAGAAACATTGATCAGCTGCCTTCTGCACAGTCCCCACTGGGTATGTGCCCCCAACCAAGGTACATGGCCTTGCCTGGAATCGAACCTGGGACCCTTGAGTCTGCAGGCCATTGCTCCATCCACTGAGCCAAACCAGTTAGGGCTGTTCAATATGTTAAAGAAAAAAACCCTATCTAATAAAGAGGGAGTAGGCAGGGAAGGGCAGTTGGGGATGATCAGGCAGGCAGGAGAGCAGTTAGGCGTCAATGAGGCTGGCAGAGGAGTGGTTAGGAGGTGATCATGCTGGCAGGCAGAAGCAGTTAGGGACAATCAGACAGGCAGGTGAACAGTTGGGAGCCAGAAGTCCAGGATTGTGAGAGGGATGTCTGCTGCCTGTTTAGACCTGGCAGTCGAACATCCCCTGAGGGGTCCCAGATTGGAGAGGGTGCAGGTTGGAGAGGATCTTTTTTAAAAAAGAAGAAACCTAACATTAAAAGAGAATGAACAAATAACCAAACCCAAAAAAAAGCCCCATAGGGGAAGCAAATGGAGACAAAGGACCACATTGCACTCATGAAACACAATTAGGATGCTATGAAGATATAAGTAGTATTAGAAGAGCAAAACCACAGCTATTTAAAATTAAAAATATAAGGGCAGGTATTAAACAATCAGTAGATGGAAGATAAAGTGTGTGTGTGTTTTTTCCCCTATCTCCCAGAATGTAGACCATAAAGATAAAAAGGAAGACCAGTCCAGGAGGCCCAACAGCCAAATATCAGCGTTTCAGAAATAGAGAACAGAGAAAATCAAGGGGTGGTGGAGGAAATCATCAGTGAAGTAATTCAGAACAATTTCCAGGACTTATATATAAATTTCCAAACTGAATGGGCATAGTGGTGCTAAGGACAAGGTATGAAAATAATTTCTCATTAAGGCACATCAGAAACTCACTAAGTTTCAGAAAAAAATAAAGACAAAAAGAAGATTCCACAAACATAAAGAGCCAGAAGACACTCCTACACAGAAGCTAGAAGGCAAGAGAATCCAGAAAATTGAAAATAATGTAAGAAACCTCTGGGACAACTTCAAGCGAACCAACATCAGAATTATGGGGGTCCCAGAAGATGAGAGAGAGCAAGATATCGAAAACATACTGAAAGAAATAGTGACAGAAAACTTCCCCCACCTGGTGAAAGAATTAGACTTACAAGTCCAGGAAGCGCACAGAACTCCAAACAAAAGGAATCCAAAGAGGACCAAACCAAGACACATCATAATTAAAATGCCAAGAGCAAAAGACAAAGCGAGAATATTAAAAGCAGCAAGAGTAAAGAAGGTAGTTACCTATAAAGGAGCACCTATACGATTGTCAGCTGATTTCTCAACAGAAACCATGCAGGCCAGATGGGAACGGCAAGAAATATTCAAGGTGATGAATAGTAAGAATCTACAGCCAAAGATAATCTATCCAGCAAAGCTATCACTCAGAATCGAAGGTCAGATAAAGAGCTTCACTAATAAAAAAAGCTAAAGAAGTTCATCAACACCAAACCAGAATTATATGAATTGCTGAAGGGGGTTCTTTCAGAAGAGAAAGTAAATAAAGATAAAAATTATGAAAAACAAATACGTAACTATCAACAAGTGAATCTAAAAACCAAGGAAATTTTTTTAAAAATCTGATGAACAATATTAACTGTTGAATATAATAGAATCAGAGGTATGGAAGGGGAGTGAACTGACAATTCTTGGAGAAAAGGGGAGAGGGGGATGTGGGAAGAGACTGAACATAAACTGTGCACCTATGGATGAGGACAATGTGGGGTGGGGAAAGGGCAGAGGGTGAGGTGGGAACCTGGTGGAGGAGAGCAATGGTTGGGGGGGGGGAGGAACATTTGTAATAATATGAACAATAAAAACTTATTAAAAAAAAAAAAAAAGAAGATGAT